TCATCTCTTTAACAAGGAGTGATTTTTTATGGTACTCAAAATGTTTTTCAGCTCCAAATAAATTTGTATATTTGTGATGTCACTCAACAATTTCTTTAAGCAAGTTCATCCTAACAATTGATCATAAATCTTCACCCATTCTCAACAATGCAACAACAACACGATAATCACGATGTCTATCGGCTTTCACATCAACTACATCAACTATGTATGAATGAATTTCAATAGGAAATGGGCCTAACATAGGTATTGATTTGGTGGTCAACTCATACTTCTTGACATGTCCCTTACTTGACTTTAAAGTAGACGAACTATCATGTTGAGAATGAAATACATCAACATGCTCCCAATAAGACTGGTTACACTTAGTAGATCTAAAAAGTTTAGTATTGCAACCTTTTGTTTTCACCTTCTCCACAATGGCACACAATGATGCCAAATTTGGGTATGTAATTTCATGGAGCTTACCTTTTATATTAATCTTACCCGCAATGTCTTCTTCTTCGAATCTCTTAAAGATATCATCAAATTCCTGTTGAATAGACAATTGTGTCACTAATTGTTTTGATTACATATAAAAAAAAAGTTTAATCGAGTCCATATCGTATGCACTAAGGCTAGTGGTATGTTGCCAACATCATATGAAACTAATTCATAAGCACAAGGAAGACCATGGATAGATCTAAGTATACATCCACAATGTTTATTATCCATCCCAACATATATGACTCGATCATATTCTTTAGCAATATGACTTAATGCATACTTTGATACAAAACCCTACAAATTTTTATACTTGGTTGTATTAAACATATGACCCACCACATGAAAAATCTTCTGAAATGAAGCTTTAATATTTTGTTGTAATGTTATCATATTATTTATTAAATCACAACAATAACACAAGTCTCCTACACTACTTTGTAGTATTCTTTTGAGGGTATAGTGTTCAGCTTCAACCCTGCATGTGAAATTATAATTAGTTAAATGTGTTAAATATACAGTGAATAAAACAAATATAGTGTATTTTCATACTTATTACTTATGGTGTTTCCTAAGTGCATCACTTTATTAGGTCATGCCTTAACAAACTTTTCCTTATGTGAAATTAACCATGTCTTTGACATATTGAATAAATATAGGCCACGGTGAACAAATAACTTCCAGGGTTGTAACACGATGTTCAAATTCATCAACTTCACTTCTCCAATAATCCATCATTTGTTCCCATGCTTTTACTGGATGCACTAACATTTTGCATTTTACTTAACATTTTTTACTATGTGAAAATGACATAAAAGATTGTTTGCCTAAGGAAACACAATTGAATTGCATTTAATGTCAAATCCCACAGACCAATACCTGAGAGAGAAAATCAACTCTTAAAAACAAGCCTCTAAGTCTTTCAAGAGCCCAAACAAAATCTTTTCACGCTCAACACCCAATAATACAAATGCAACAGAAAATGTTAATCCTGTGGAGGCTACACCAACAATTTCAATTAAGGGCAACCTATAGTTGTTAGTTTTGTAAGTGATATCCATCATCAATACTAAGTTAAATACATTCAATAATTTGACAGAACCAGGGTGTGTCCAAAAAATATTTGTTACAATATTTGTAGTCTCATAAACTAAATGCTATAAATATACTTGTCTTGCTTCAATAACTTCATTAGTTGTTGCACTTCAGTTTTGTGACCTCTTATACTTCTATGATATGTGTATCTTGCATTATACACTTGTTTTATAGTCGTAACATTTTTTTCATTGTTTTCCTTCAAGGTAAGTAGAATATTTCTAGGCTTTACTAAACTTTTTGTCATATCAACTAGCATAGACTTTTCATTACTTGTTAATCTACCAGGATATGGATGACCTACTAACGTAATAATTAAGTAATGATTATGACTTCTACAAACTAACTTCAGAATCCATCTTGTACCATCCTTTATAGGTTTTTCCCATAGTTTAAAAGGACATTCACATTTTCTACTTCCTGTAAGAGTAGGTTGCAAATCTTTTATATATTTCTTATATTTACCACATCTTTCACAACCTAACAATACATGTCTTTCTTCTTTGATGACCATTTATTGTATTTGACCTGAGTATAACAACCACAAATCCAAACATAAATACAACCTCTCGAACCCATTTTAGAAAATCATATCGTGTAGTAAATATCTATATCAATGAATATAAAATCAATTTTACCTCATTTGTTGTGAATGCATCATCACAATCAACTAAATTATCAGGAATGTGATTGTCTATATTATCTAACCTCATTAACATGTCGACTTCATCTTACATATTTTCATTTAATAAATCTTCTTACATTGCATCTGTAAACTAGAACATCAAAAATTATAAATTCAACACTGCATTATTTCCAGAATACTTTTATGGAGGGTATGATGCATTTTTGAAAATCAATTCCGAAAAGATGGTTCCAGAATGCATTTCTGGAAAATTAATTTCAGAAATATATTTTCGAACGCATTTTTTAAAATACATTTCTAGAATTGATTTTCTGAAAATGCATTCCGAATTGGTGGATCCATAATCCACTTTTAAATTGTTCATTTCAGAAATGTATTATGAATCCACTAATTCAGAATGTACTTTTCAGAAAATCAATTTCATAAACACGTCCTAGAAAGCATTTCCGAGAGCATATTTTTCAACCAAAATTTACCAGTTTCTCACTCTTTCAACGTGTTTCCAGCAACAAAATTTGTTATATGAATCCTGTCTATGATAAAAAAAATGATACAAAATAAAAAAAGTTGTACATTCTTACCTTTATGATAATTTTTGGAATAATAGGAGAGGAAAAAATAAAAATGTTTTAGTAGGACTTAAAAACCAATTAGTGAACAAAACCAGAAATAAGCACCGAAGAATTCGAAGACTAAAATGAAGTTTAATTTAATGTGGGGTGCAAGGAAGGATTAGCCCTCAATCAATTCTAAGGGTGTATTAAATTCTTACGCAAATCCAACTTCTCCTTAGCGTTAAAGAGAAGTTCTTTGAAATTATAAATCTTGATTAAGAATCCTTAAAATATATTTATTTTATTGTAGATATTTTTATAATATTTATATAAGTTTCCTCGTAACTAAAAATGATATCATATTTTTACAAGAATTTATAATTGTTTATCATATTAAATCCAATAAATATTTCATCTTTATAGAGAGCTTCAATATTCACAGTTGGGCGTTACGTTTCTTATTATCTTAGTTTGTCTCTCAACCAGCCATTTGTTTTTCTCATCAAATCAGATTTTTTTTTTCATGTTTGATTTTGTTGCACTTAAATATGCGTATTATATATCATATAGCGTGCTTCTCGTCACTGTCATGTTACTTGGTTGAAATATTTTTACTCATGCAAAATCATCTTTATTCACTTCAAAATGTAATTGGGATTTTTATAATATTTTGTTGTCAAATATTATATTTATAATAGGATTTAATTAATATTTATAACAAGAAAAAATTTACAAAATTCTAATTTTAAGTAATCAAATTTACTTTTATAAATTCTTAAATTTCAATTACATTAAAATTATTTATCCAAATAGCATATTTTGTCATAATCCATTTCAATATAAAAATAAATTACTCTACGAATTTTCCATTCATTATAAGGGTGAGTTCTTCTGTAACTTTTTTTCTTGCTTTTTTTTTTCATATGACAGGTCAAATGTTAGGCATTTCTATGATTGTGTTTCACATTCCAATTTTCCAATCCCAATTCTAAAAGACTGAAAAAATAAACATGAACCCGTTTAATAATTTCAAATGGACACTGCAAAAAAGAATGTAAGAGTGTTAGGCAATGATTGGTTGGTTACTGTCAACGTGATTCATTGGAGATATGAAAGCCGACAGGCTACAAGATATTATGGTGAATGAATGAAAAGTAAGATAATACAGATAACATACTTTCAAAATTCAATATATGTTACAAGGCTGAAAATTTCAGTACAACAAATTGCTCGTGGTCACATCGGGGGTTCCCAGGTCATGTCGAATGCAGGTCGAAGACTTTCTTGAAAACTTTCAAAAACCATGCTTCCTCGTTTTTGGTACAGAAAGTGGAGCATTGATAGCTACCACACTTACAGTAACTATTTAGGTATCACCTGTACCAGATTCCACAAACAGAGCATTAGAACAGGCCCTAACCATATATGTCAAATAAAAAGCCAAACATAATCCTAACGAAGTTTCACTTTTTATTAGCAAATAGCCTGATGTAAAACTACCAAATTGAACATGATTAGATCTAGAGTCAAAACTGACTGGCGTCAAACTCCAAAAAGTGGACATCCAAATATCATATCTAGAGGATATACTATATTAACCATAATACAAGTCCCCTATCTGCACTTCTACCAAGGTCTAAAAGATTGAGAACAATGCAGAGTACATTATGCAAAGATAATTTGTTTAAATGGACATGATGAACAAACTACAATTGGCAACATGATGTGTCATGTGATCAAGTGACTAAAATATATGGGTTCAATGACTTCGGGCTTGCAAAAGGCAAATTCAAGGTACATTTTTTAGTGCAAACATTTGTTTGTTTGTGTGGGGTAGGGGGTCTATTTAACCAAATCATTTGGAAAGAAATTCCTCTAGCTAGCTGAATGATTCTAGAATTTTATCATTCCAACAAAAACCATTTGTCTCCAAATTGATTAGGCAATAATGAATAACTATACCTGTCACTAAAGATAATATACTACTCCGAATTTTACTTAAATTCATCGGTTAGAATGTTTTGTAGAAATGTGGCACTGCCAAATATAACACAGATGGCATGTTATGAATCTGGAAGGGTTCGAGCTCCAATATCCAGAAGTTCATGTTGTGTAACGGAAGATATATAGATATATACGTTCTTAAGAAGGGGAAGAGACAGCTAGGCAAATAAAAAAAAAGTGAAAAAACAAATTAGGCAAGCTTGTTGTTCGAAGTTTCCTCAGCACAAAAGAAATATTGGAGATTCATCTAGATTCTGCCTCATCACATAAATCTTGTGCAATTGTGAAATTACGCAGTATATTCTTAGTAACTCACCACTTTTAGGGTCTACATGTACGAAAAAACTGGCAGCAACTATAAGATAGCATAGTATAAGCATCAAGCCTTTAAAATAATTTGAGGTTCCTTCCTGCAAGGAAAAACAAATTGAAAATGATTTAAACGTTAATAATAGTGGTAACAACAACAAAAAACCCTATAAAATCACAAACAAATGATGTGAGTGCAATAAAAAGTTAATGCATCCACTAAATGTAACTTTGACCATATCATAACAGAACATGAAAAATACTCCATTTTAACAGCAAAATTTGGAAAGTTAAATACATTCTCTTCAGAAGCAAGATCGAGATTACCATAGCATGAGACATGAAATAAATAATGTGAACGTGACGCCTGCCATGGACTCAGAAGATATGTTTCTCTTTGTTGATTTCATCCTAGAAGTGACTATTGTAAATTTTAGTTAATAATAAATATTATCACAGTTTAATAAGATGGAAAAATTGGTAAATTATGTTAATGTTAAAAATGATTGATTTAACAATTTTTCAAAATAATTATTAAAATCACAACAAATATGTCTAAGATGTCCAATAATTGTCAATCAATTTTAGAGTAACACTTAAATTTGTTTTGTAAGCACGGCACTGTTTATTTCACACCTTCTTAATTTAGTTATTTTTTGTTTATAATCTTTATAAATATGTTATTTTCGTTTTTAGAACCTATAAATATTTCATTTTTTATTCTTGTTTGGAAAAATAATATCATTTTTTATTCTTGTTTGGAAAAATAATATAATTTTTTATTTTCTTTCCCAGAAATAAAATATCTTTTTTATTTTAGTTCCGATAAATATATCACTTTTGATCTTTGTCCCTAGTAAAGTCTCATGTTAAAGGTTATGTTTATTAAACATTTAACTAAGATACCAACACCTCAGCCTTTAAAAGAATTAATAAAGTCATTATAGATTCAAGAGGCATCTCATTAATGTTTCTCTCTTTCTTTTCTGTTTTGGTAGAGTTAATTAATGTTTCTCCTCTGTACCAAGTTAAATAATTATGTAATAAAATTAGTACTAACATCTAATACAGATGCCGATCCGCACCTAAGGTGCATAATGCTCTGGAATTTAGTTTAGTGTTCAAGGGCACACACAAAGTTATTACTGTCGCCTAATTCTTTAATTAGATTTCCTAAGAAATAACAAAGTGAGAAACATCATATTAATTTTTATATTAGACAATGATGAAGAATTGTATTAATTCAGAATTTTCCTAAATCTCCATATACCCTTTTCAGCCATTTTTTATTGTTCACTCTACATCAATAAATTAAAACTTAGGATTTTAGCCTTGACTAAACACCTTTAAAAGAGATGTAGGTTCCAACCATTAATTGCTTATAAGTTGGGAACGTTAACAACTACTAACAACACAATTTATAAGAAATAAATTATTACCTGCATCATAAACGCAACTACCAACACAGTGATAAAAAGTGTGGCGGTCTCAAAGAGTTGAAAATTCAAGTCCATTTCTTTTCCCATGCACCATCCAACAACCACACAGAAGGGGATCTACAATTTTCAAGAGAACAAGAATCATTAACTTTCTGAAATGTTCGTCATCTGATTAACTAATTTTAAAAAGGTAATAAACCCTATTCCATTTCTTTTACCTGTATAGTTTATTCACAAAAAGATATATTATATGTATACCCCACATAACCATTTAATAACAGTTCAAGGCCATACCACAAACATAGATATCTGTGTAGACGATCCAATGGCAACTCCAATAGTAATGTCCTGAGGAGAGATTGAATACGTTAACAGATTAACAATATTCATAGAATGAAGAGTAGGCTTTGAAATCCACTTACAAGCTTGTCCTTCACGGCAAACATGATGGCACTGGCATGTTCTGCAGCGTTGCCTACAATTGGCAGCAAGATGACAGAAATAAAAGCCACTGACATATTTAATGACTCAGATGCTCCCTGTAAGAGTCCAGAAAAACAGTATGTTTATGAATCAACTTATGACACAATGTTTACAGACAATAAGAATATTAGCGTTTCAGTCTGTCAAAAAGGACATGAAAAACAGAGGTATGTAACACTAGATAATCTCAAACCACAAAAGAAATCACAAATTTATGCCAGTACTTGATCCAGATTATTATACTAGTACAAATAAGGCTATATAAGGCCAGTATTATATATCACCATTATTTAAAATCTTATTAGTGGATTGAATATATATCTCTTTTCACTTCTCCTAAAATTTCAATGCAGAATCAAAGGTTGTCATCCCTTACCTGACTTGATCCCATAACTGTTTCCATTGCATTGTTCCAAAAATAAGTAATTCCTTTTTTGTTAAATCTAATTAGTATCAAGCCATTGATTTTACACCCATAATTTGCTTGTAGAAAAAGCTAGTTGTAAGTGTGGGCTCATAATGTCTATTTTTAGCCTAGCCATAATTTGCTTTTTCTTGTGCCCAATTAAGAGTTTCAAAGTTTTTCTATTTAAACTATTCCTGTAAAATAACAAAGTGTGAAAAACTAATATGTCAAGAGATCAAATCAAACTCAAGTGGTACAATAATAGAAACAAATTATCAAGAGATTTCTGAAATGATATAGCTATACCTTTATGGCATCTACAAGGTATCCAGATAATATAGATACCCATGCTGTCAAAATAGCAAGCCAGGTTATTGCCTCCCACTGAGTTAATTCAAGTTCTTCTTCCACATCAGAATTGTCCCCATTTTCTCCTTCCTACGTTATAAGGTAAAAAGGTTATGTGTAAATGGACCGTTGAATGATACAGAAAAAAATGCATTCAATAGGCACCAATCCACCCACATAAATTCTTTTATATTTCGAAACTTATGCAATGATTTAATATTCTGATCAACTTTAAAAAAAAAATTAAATTAAATCCTCACAAGAGGAGTGGAAACGTGAAAGAAAAATGTTTTTTCCTTTTCTATTACATGCAAAAACAATCCACCAAGCTGACATCTATCAAGACGTGAAATCACCCTCGTGCTAAGGTATCAAATCTTGGTTATGATAGGAAAGTCACCACCAACATTTTACACTAATAAGATTTTCTGTAATATTCTCGAATACTCCTTAAAGTTGTCTATTTCTTAATTATTAATTATGAAGCACGAACTCTTACATGGACATCAACACTTAACATCTCTACTATCTAAATTATAGGACACCAGGAAACCATAGAGACACATCCACAAAAAGAGACTCTAATTAAATGAAATACGAGTAATACAGTATTAGATCTAAATTGATGGAATTTTCACTTTTTTAAGTCAACCTTCTATGTTTTTTCTATGATAATAAGCTTAAAAAAAGGGGAGGGACAGTATTTATATTATTTTATAATATATTTTAAGTCGACTTATCTAAAAGTTAGAAAAAAATATCTTTAAAAATATTAGTGTGTGGCAATCGGTGTTGGCTCAAGTGTCCAAGCCAACAAAAAATATTTTTTAATTGAAAACCTAACCAGAAATGCTTGACATGTGTCAACACAAATACTGTGCCCGACTATGTGATCCTTTGAATAAGAGAGGCATTCCTGCTTCATATATTATTAATGATTTTAGGTCATTGAAAGAACATAGAGCATAATAATAATGTAAGGTAGGTTATTATTATATAGACAACTTTATGTAATATTTCCCTTTAAACTTTATCTTTTTTATGACATTAACTCTTTCTGATTGATTTTATACATCAATAACACTTTTCCTATCTCCGTTAAATATTTAATTAGATAATTAACTTTTCAAACTATAAACTTTTTCGCCTTTATCAAACTCTTTTTTTATAACTATCATGTTCTTGTAAATATGTCTTGCATGTGGATTTTTCATGCAATTTTTTGGTATGAATGTTGTGATTTTTACAAATTTTTTCTACATAAAATTTCAGCAAACTTTGCTTTGATTTAGGAATAAATATTACTGCCTAAAATTAGTTGAAATTTTCAAAATATATTTTTGCATATTCTCACACAATTATTATTTTTTTGTATAAAATAATTAATACTTCATAAAAAAATTCACAGAAAAAAATTACAGATAACATCTCTTCTTTTTTTATTAGGTAGCAAACAAAGAAATACAAATCATAAGAAACAAAATTTGATAAGTTCTAAAAAACTTGAAAGATACTTTAATATCATAAATATAATTTGATCAAGAAAATAGTTAATATTGGAATAGTATCATGAAATGCTTAAAATGATCCATAGGGAAATGATATTATGTTTCATTTAATTTAAACATTATAAACTTTATTATTGGACCCCTTCCAATTTTATTTAAACTTTATTGTAGACGCTCTGCCATTACATTATGGATGTTGTAAAGGAAGTTCGATCACACCTATTAGGTTTTAATGCATAGGCTGTTTTGATCAAACAAAAGAATGGTTACGGCTGTGTTTACCATTTGTCTTCAGGAGTCTATCAAAGTTTGACTGAGGTGCCAAACCTCATTGTATTCAGGAGTCTATCAAAATTTGATCGAGGTGCTAAACCTCACCAAGCCAATGTACTTCCAGTTCTTCATTTTTAAATTATTTTCAACCCACTCTTTTATCCACTAAACCCAACCTTGTAATTTGAAGGTTTTTAAAAGTTTAACCTGTATAATAAGGGTCTACCAGAAAAATGGTGACTAGTAAATGTGTAATACTAGTTAACACCGCGAAAAGACAATGACGGTATGATTAAGTAAATGACCATAATTCGTGACTATTAACAGGTGTCAAATACATACTAATCTCCTTAAATAGCATGAAAACTCTAAACATTTAATCTGCCACTATGCAGAACGTATTTTCCGATGAGAAAGAAAATGATACGAAAGCAGAGATGGGATTCACCCCAAGCACATCATATGGTGCATGTCATGACAATTATACATCAAAAACCTAAGAGAAAAAGCTACAAGTAAAGAAAATTTTAAAAATGGGACAAAAGAACTAACCTCATTAACTGGACTATAAACATTTTGCTGACTTCTAAGTTGAAAGAAAAGGAAGCCTGCATATGCCACTAGCATTATGCAGCTGCTAAATCTTGATAGAGACAACACTGACTTCCCTTCATGAACTTCTGAGTGAGTAAAGTAAAGCACAGCAGGAAACAGAATTCCCATTACAGCCATCAAGAGTAACCCAGAATTCACAACGGCAGCTGCCTGTTGCAAAGGCAAACTATAATGTGAAGTCTGTTACACCAGGAGGACACAAACACGGAGAAACAATTACATGCACTAATTTTCACTAAGGTCGTGATATGTACCTTATCAAATTCCTGTACTTTTTTGTAGTGAGCAATGCCACCAGTAAAGAATGCACAGCCAAGAACCAGAAGCATATTTGACAGGATAGAACCAAGTAAAGATTGCTGAACAACCCTTATCATGTTGCTTTTCAATGCATAAATTGAGATGATCATTTCAGTCGCATTGCCGAATGTGGCATTAAGCAAACCCCCAACTGCACATACCAATAGAAGAAAGATCAATTGACATGGATTACATGCACTTCGATACAAGGTTTACATAAAAGGAATAAGTATGATGAATAGGAAAAGAAAAAGAAGAGAAAATGAAAGGATGGTGTTTACTTTAAAGGCATGCGTTACTCGTTCTCAACAAATGGTTTTTTTTTTTTTTATGTTATCAATCAATCATAAACCATGATGCGTTATTGGACATAGTGAAAAGTAGGTCATGCAGTACTTATCACTAAAATGCAACCTTAGATAATAAAACAACACTGGTTACACGAGATACTTGAACCAGAAAAAGTACAACTATACCTGTTGGTCCTGTGAAGAAGGCAAGCTGCCTGGTTCAAAGATGAGAAAATTGGAGGTGTTAGTGATAGATTAGAGAGGAGATGTAGTAAATGGGATTAGATTCGATTTGATTCAAGTAGAAGTGTAAGACTTACTCAGTAGCATAACCGAGACGTTCGGCCAAAGGAGCAATACCCAATAACGTGAAGAAGAAGACCCATCCCTGAAAGACAGGATAGGAAATGGGGATGCCATTAATAAAGTAAAAAAGGAAAGGAAAAAGAGAAGGGCATACGTACATGGTGTCCGGTTAGATAATGGAGGAAAATGGCTAATGGACCAAAAGGAAGCAAGATGTTGATCTTGGCCTTAATTAAGACAAAATATATACTCCTGCTGATACGTGTAATTTTGAAGATGGATGAGCTCCGGATATTAACAACGCGTGTCTCGAAATTGAAGGGATGGACTTTAGAGGCGGATGGGGAAGAGGCGAAGGGAGTGTGGTCATCATCGTCACTGTCAAGGTTGTCGAAAGGATCGCGCTCTATCTTCTCCTCCACCGAACCCATCTGCGAAGCACACCCGAGCTCAGATCCAGGCAGCCTCGTGTTTATGCCAACAAAATATGGATTCAACTCCACTCCAATCCACTCCGAGTCGCTCCTTCCGCTGAAATCTAGGGATGCGGAAACAAGAAGAAATGTGAACGACGGTGCAATTCAAGATACGATTCAAATTATTTTCTGTTGGCGTTCCATGGCCGGCAACTACGCTCTGCCCTGCAAGTCAGCAGTCACACCTCTGAACCTTCTGCGAAATCTCCTTCTTCTTTCTCTTTCTCTCTCTTCTTCCTCTCTCTTCTTCTTCTTACTCGTCAATGTGCTTTCGTTTTTCTTCCCCGCTACACGTGTCTTTTCCTATACATTACATCAATCATTGATTATACCAATACTAGCTAATAACAAACGTAAAAATTATTTACTTTATTTTTAGTAATAAACTATATTCTAACTTCTATCAAGTATCAACTCATTCTAAAGGTTAACTTTATTTCCATCAATACAAGGCTAAGTACCTCTTTTTACACTCAGTATGTCATTTATTTACGAGTTTAAAATATAAAATTTTAAAAATATTTAAGACAATTTGTATAAATTAATTAATTTCGTTGAAAGAGTGTCTTAATATAAAAAAATCACTTATGGTTTTTAAAGTTGGACAATGATCCTTTTTAAGTAGATAAATGCTCTCGATTCCATCATGTAATTGATGAGATATTGGTTAGTAATGAAATTTTTTTTTTTAAGTGTTACCCTTATCGTGACGAGCACGACCAAAACACTATTTTAATGTAATAACAAAGTTAGTTTATATAATTTTTCTTATTGCATGATCGAATTTAAAATAGGATTTAATTTGTAAGAAACCCAGTTGAGAAAAGATACAATTTACAATCGAATAATTCCCTCGAGAATTTAAACTTTTTTTTAATTACTATGCCATGAGAAATTAGTGACTTCTAGTTAACTTTGTAAATAACAATGAACTAAAATGAAATGTGTTTCTTTTAAGTGACTTGATACATTTGAACTTTGTCCATAAAAGTCAATCAACATTGCCACATTGTATTGTTGAGTCAAACAGAATTACATACTGTAAAAGATAATCTAATTTACTATACATTTTAATACTTTTATAAGTTGTTGATTCTCTGAAGAAATCTTTTTAATGTTTTTAATTTGAAAAGTTATAGAATTTTAAAGAAAGATATCGCCAAACAAATGATGGGAGTAGTGACAGATCAACGAAAGTTTTTGATGGAGCTAAATAAGTTAAATAATATATACAAAATCATTGAAATTGTCATCCACAAAATCTTATAGATAACACCACGCGTACTTTTAAGACCCCTCAAACGTCCGTGTAACAATTATGATATTTTCATTCATGGACGTGATAAATTACAACATTTTGAAATTTTCAGATAAAAACATTAATTATATTTATACAATAGTAACAATTTTGCACTGTAATTACAATATCAAGCGTCATTTTTAGTTAACTATTTATGGTAGATTGAAATTATTTTTATTATTGTAACTACCGAAGAGAGAAAAAATCGTGTAGCAGTTTAAATGTTCAATTGAAATTATTTTTATTATTGTAACTACCGAAGAGAGAAAAAATCGTGTAGCGGTTTAAATGTTCAATTTTGATCACAAAGACCGTATAAATTCTGGAAGTTTATGTTTTTTTTTTTTAATCAGACGTTTTATTTTGCTGGTTTGGATTTAGATTCATGGAAAAGAACAAACAGTCTCATCTAATTTACTCGTCCACTTTATAAGAAACCTACTATGTTTGTTGATAGTTGGTGAGAGAAAAGGGAAGAAGAAAGGGGTTAGGGAATGGATCCTAGGTTTCTTGTTGTTTGAGTTTGCCTCTTCTACCAATATAACATGTTCATTTATATCTTGTTAATTTATACAAGAAGCCATAATAACAGTTTTTGTTTTTCCCTCTTTGGTCCACACGACGTCACCCACATAAAATGCATCTTCAAATATAATAATCACCTCATCAAGTTAGTTTGAAATATAGGCTATAAACTAATAATGTCAGGTTAAGTGCCAATATAAGGCCCACGGATTGACACTGATGGGCCATATGAATATCTCCATTCTCCACAACATAGGCATCTATCTTGCTCAACACCGTTTTCTAGAGTACAAAATTTGCAAGACCAAACTTTGAACTTGGAAACATCTTTCTGCATCTCTGTTCCACAGGCTTCGCATACCAATGCTAATGGCTGCAATACATCAAATCATCAGAATTAATTTTTATTCGATGCATGCAACAGCAGTTTTCCAATCACATAAATAATAATATTATTAATAAGTCAAAAGACTTGAGCAGACAGATTTTGGCAACACACATTAGATCAATGTGCTTTGAGGAATGTTGGGGGTGCTACAAAACAAAGCATAGAAACTCCTCTATAACGTTCACGCATTTTTCAGATAATCTCAACTTAAATGCTTCTCAAAGTTGGGTTTGGGTACATAGTTGTCTACGTACAATTTCTCCTATTATCTCAACTTAAGCTTTATGGACCAGATTGTAATGCCTTATGCCTATAGTAATCTACTGACGCCACATACTATCGATCAGTGTAGATTCAAATACCCGTTCAAAATTAAAAGGCACAAGTGAAGTCTATTGCATTGTGTGAAAAAGGTAGAGCTTTACCTACTCATCCCTACAATCACAATAGCAGGCTATATTCATGCGTTAATTAGTAAACATATTGACACCATACCATATCCTTGCATGTCTGTAACCTTTGTTTGTGTACAACATATATCGTTTACTTGATGACAAAACACGGTGGACACATCTCACAACTTACAGATACCTCATCTAGCAAGACAGTTTGCAAAATTTTACAAAGGTCTTATGCAATAAGTGTCAAGGTACAAATTTGAGAGGTCCTTTTCATTCTGCTATATATGCTGCAGTTGAGGCACAGATTGAAAATTTTCAGATGAATAAGATTATTTTTCTGTGATTGAATAAAGTAATGGAGTAGAAACATTGTACATACATAATTTAATATAACATGAAGTCAAAACAATAATTACTTTAGGCATTCTACCAATTTCATTATTATACAAGAATAGAAATTGTACCTTATTTAATAAAGTGCAAGTTTTGCACTGCCTTTTTGCTCCCTCAAATGTTCCTTCGGCTGTTGCAGATTGAATAGCTGAAGTTCGAATAGATCTTGCAGAAGGTCCACTAGAACTTGTGCTGTCCTTTATATAAGGGTCACCCCCTTGAGACTTTGACCCACACCACATGTCATCGTGCAGTCTCCTTTCAGCAGCCATCGCAGCAGCTTGTATTGGACTCAGAGAAGACTTGATATTTTTATCACCACCTAAATATTGAGGTCCAGAAGGAAGCAAACCTCTATGATGTGCTCTGCTTTCAGCAGCTGCCAATGCAGTCTGGCGAAGAGATGACAAAGGTGGTTGCTGGGAGAACCCACCGAGACGTCTTCCATTAAGTTCAAATCCTTTCCCAGTGCTACTAATCCCTTTGACCATCAGTTCTTCACATTCCTACAGTAGAATAGGGTTTGAACTAAATATACTAATTATCTATGACCAGTGTCAATAAGGATGTGTGCTATATACAAAGATAGCAAGTCAACATAAGCAATATCCTAATTCATAACCTATTATTAGCACATCATGTGAAAATAAAGATTCCACTTTTTATTGGGCCAATGTGTATCTGATGACAATCTTCCTTTTAAATTTCATCAATACATGAAATCTTCAATTAGGTAAACTATGTAAAGAAATGGGTGCATATATGCCAGGATAACTTTGGTCCGAACCACAAGTACATCCAAAATTTAAGATTCAGCGTAACAACAGTTTCCCAGTTCCCAATTTCTTTTGCTGCATGTGTATGTATTTGCCCCTACTGAAAATACACAAATTTTTGCATTTATAAAACCACACATGCATTACCAGTATAGTGTGTACTACCATAAGTTAGGCATTTTTCATATCCCAATTCAATTGAAAACCTCATGCACAAGGTGAACAGATACCATTGCAAAGCACATGTAAAATAGTAAAATTCTAAGGAACTAGAAGAATGCATTTATAGTTAAGTGTAGAGAACACTAGCAAATATATATTGATAGAGAGCAAAACATGATTACCTTTCTAATTTCTTCCAAAAGTTTATAAAACTGAGCGTTGTGGGGACCATGTTCATTATGGCAAAGCTCGTGCAACATGGTATCAAGAATCTGCTCATAAGGGAAGAAATCCCACTCGCAGTTAGGCCTCCGCAGTCTTATCTTTATTTCTGCACCTGGTCCTATATTTAGCCCTAAAAGTGATGGATTTGCAGGGCTGCACAATAAAGTTTTACATGACTAATACTAACACAAGCACATAGCATTAAAAAAATAAAATGAAGGGATGCATATATAAAGTACCAGAATTCAGAAAGAACATTGACTTTCCATTTTCTTTTTCGCATTATTGGTTGAACCTGCTTAGCTACCTTTTCAAGAATCTTCCTTGCGTCATCTTCTCCAATTCTTTTGAGTGGCTTAATTTCCCAGACTTTGTTAAGATCACTAAGATCCATGCTAGCATAAGAAAAAAGGTTCCTAAGCTTGCTCTGTAACAAATTTTGAAGTGATCTGCTATTGATAAAAAGGTTATGCAATCTAAGATATATACTTAAACTAGCCAATAGTTGAGGTAAAAAAATAAGTAGCGTATAAAATATGCCAAAATCTAACTACAGAGCAGAATCAGTTGTCATAGTCACATGGTAGAGGATGGTTACAGAAAAAGAAAAGCCCTCTTCATCCAATCCATTTTCCCACATGACTAGGGTATGAACATGTTTGCTTCAGATAATTGAATCCACAAACAAGTTGATAATTGGAAGAATTCCTAATTTATACAAAATAGAAAGTAGGTGTGACAGAGAAGAATTCCCAAAAACTGACCTGAATAACGGGGGAGAGTCTACAAGTTAATTTGTATTCCGCTTGCCCTAAGTGAGATTGAGGGAGAGTGGAACGAACCAAAACACACTATATGATATATCCACAACAATATCTCTTCATCGCTGATGACCAGTGTCACAACAATTATTCTGAAACCACTGCAGATTGTTCAGTTACCTTTAAAGAACTAAAACAAAACTTAAAAAAAAAAAAAAAAAAAGGATAAAACTGTAAGATTAACGGTGTTTTTCTATCCAACCAATTTTAATAAAAAAAATAGAATAAATTTGTTAATCTATTTTTATATAAAAATATAATATATATTTTTATTTTATTTTATATTAATTAAATTAATTTTAAATTATAAATATTTTATTATTATTTATCTTATATATTTTAATATATTTTATATTTGTAATTTTTATTATAATTTATGATAATATCTTTTATTATTTATTAAATTAGATTAAATTTCAATTAAACTTAAATCCAACTCAGTAATCTATCTAATTTTAAAAATATTAATCACAATAATGTAATGAAAAATCTTATTATACTAAATTCAAATATTTTTTAAATCTAATATATTAATTTATTATTTATCTTAAATTTAAAGAACTAAAATTATGAATAAATAACTTTTTATTACCAAACACCTATTATAAATTAATCAACAAGTCATACCTAAACCATATGATATAATTCCACAAAATTTGGGAGAGAAGGAAAGCTTAGATGGTTGACAATAGTCTAAAAATAATAGTAAATAACTATAATTGTAATAATAACAAATATGAAATTATTAATAATAACAATAATATTAAAATAATTATAGTAATATTAATAATAATAAATAATAAGTATAATAATAATAATTAAAAGTTTTTGTTATTATTAATTATTAATACTAATTTAATTATAAATTATTATTTGTTTATTATTTATCACTTATTATTATAATTAATAACGAAAAGATGAAGAATGATGATAATAAAAAAAATATTTATTGTTATTATTATTAATTTTTGTATTTACTATTATTAAATTAATTAATTATTTTACTACTTATTATTATGATTATAATTAATAATTTTATTATTTATTATAATTATAATTAATAATAATAACAATGAAAAGGAAATTAATGATTATTATAGTTATGATAATAGATAAGAAGATTAATGGTAATAATAATTAATTAAATTAATAATAGTAATAATAATAAATAATAAATTAATAATAATAATAATTATTATTATTATTAATTTTAGTATTTGTTATTGGCAATTAACGATGCTATTGTTTTATTATTATGATTATTACTATTATTTTTATAATAATAAATAATAATATAAAAAATATAAAACGTAACAAAATAAAATTTATATGTAGAAAGACTATTTTATTAAAAAAATCCAAAGCATAGAAAATGTAAAATCATATTTTCAAATACAATTTTAATATTGAAATAAATTAAAAGTCCTTTTTAAAATATTATCTCTAATATTTATTTTTTTAAAATAAATTTTCCATTCTTCTCTTCTGATTCTCTATGTTGAGATAGAGAGGTGAAGACTGCTTTCACTCTTCACATCATTTATCTATTTGTTTTATGTCTTTTTAAGGTAATACCTACTTTCTTATAATTATTATATATAGGATTATTAGACAAAATAAAAATGTTACAATTAAAAAAATAATTATTATAATATATATATATTAAAAAAATTTTTAAAAAATGAATTATAAAATATTTTAATATATTTATTTTCATTAATATATGTAAAAAAATATTAGTGTTTCTAGAAAGATATATTTTTCTGTCTGATAATTTATATTTATTAAATTATTTCTATAATAAAAAGATTTGTATATTATAGTAATGAATTAGATTTTCAATTAAATATATATTTTTCTGTCTGATAATTTATATTTATTAAATTATTTCTATAATAAAAAGATTTGTATATTATAGTAATGAATTAGATTTTTAATTAAATAAAAGAAAAAAATAAATGCATTGAAGAGTTGTGTGTGAAAAAGCAAAATGTGACCAAATATGAAAGCTGCAGAATGGGATGGTCTAGTTGAATTGACGCGGAAAGACAACAAAAAAAATTTGAATGCAATATGTTGACGACAATAAATGAGTCAGAGTCTCGTCGTTGTCCTCACATGTTCAATCGAGCATGAGTCAGAGCCCATAACACTTCCTTTTCCATTGCAATCAAGGTTAGGCCTTTATGCTTCTCTTCCTCTCAAGCAATGCATTCCACCATTTTCATGAGGTGTCTTTTTTTCTTGTCTTGCTTCTTTTACGCGGCCTCTGCACTCAACTCCGATGGGGTCACCCTTTTGTCACTCATGAGGCGCTGGACATTCGTTCCTCCTTCCATAAACACCACCTGGCTTGCCTCTGACTCCACTCCATGCTCCTCCTGGGTGGGAGTTCAATGTGACCATGCCCACCATGTCGTCTACCTTAACCTCACTGGTTATGAGATTACTGGCCCATTAGGTCCTGAAATTGGAAATATTTCTCGTCTACACTACTTAGACCTGACAGATAACAACCTTAATGGCCCAATACCTCACTCCTTCGAAAATTTGCACAACCTCCAGTTTCTCAGCCTTGCTCAAAATCAACTATCTGGTGAAATCCCGCATTCCTTGACTCAAATCCCTCGACTGTATTTGGTTGATCTATCACATAATAGTTTAAACGGTTCCATCCCCACGAGCATTGGGAACATGTCTGAGCTCTTGCAGTTGTATCTTCAGAATAACCAGTTGTCTGGGACAATTCCCTCATCCATTGGGAATTGCAGTAAATTACTAGAATTGTATCTGGATACAAATCAGTTGGAGGGTATCCTGCCGCAGAGTCTAAATAATCTTAATCATCTTGCTTATTTTGATGTCGCCAGGAATAGACTTACAGGTGCAATTTCTTTGGGTTCCAGCAGTTGTAAAAATTTAGTAGTTTTGGATATCTCGTTCAATGACTTTGGTGGAGGCCTTCCCTTAGGTTTGGGGAACTGTACTGGTTTATCAGCATTTGTAGCCGTGAACTGCAATTTGGTTGGGAGTATTCCACCCTCCTTTGGCCTTCTGACCCAGCTTTCTATTCTATACCTTCCACAGAACCATTTATCTGGAAGAATACCTCCAGAAATTGGCAACTGCAAGTCTTTGACAGAGTTGCAGCTGTATTCCAATCGACTTGAGGGAAACATTCCAAGTGAATTGGGAAAGCTAAGAAAACTAGTGGATTTGGAATTGTTTTCAAATCAACTGACTGGTGAAATTCCACTCAGCATCTGGAAGATTAAAGGTCTTGAGTATCTGATTCTGTATAATAATAGTCTTTCTGGAGAATTGCCATTGGAGATTACGGAGCTGAAGCAAGTGAAAAACATCTCATTGTTCAACAACCAGTTTTCCGGGGTCATACCTCAAAGCTTGGGAATTAACAGCAGTTTAGTTCTGTTGGACTTCACAAATAATAAATTCACTGGCAACATTCCACCAAATCTGTGTTTTGGTAAGAAGTTAAATATCCTGAATTTGGGCATCAATCAACTTCAAGGTAGCGTACCTCCTGATGTTGGGAGCTGTACAACCCTTGGAAGGTTAATTCTCAAACAAAATAATTTGACTGGATCTCTTCCTCGTTTTGAAAGCAACCCAAATCTCGTTTACATGGATATTGGCAACAACAAAATCCATGGATCAATTCCATCAAGTTTGGGAAACTGCAGACGTATCACTGACTTAACTTTGTCCATGAACAAGTTTACAGGGTCTATACCCTCAGAGCTAGGGAACCTTGTGAATCTTCAGACTTTGAATCTCTCTCACAACAACTTGGAAGGTCCTTTGCCCTCTCAGCTATCAAAGTGCACCAAAATGGACAGGTTTGATGTTGGATTCAATTTCCTAAATGGTTCATTGCCATCAAGTCTGCAGAGATGGACAAGGCTAACCACATTAATTTTGAGCGAGAATCACTTTAGTGGGGGCCTCCCAGCTTTTTTGTCGGACTTTCAAATGATTTCTGAACTACAACTTGGTGGCAATCTGTTTGGAGGCAAAATTCCTAGATCGGTCGGAGCAATGCAGAGTTTGCTCTATGGCTTGAATCTAAGTTCAAATGTTTTGACTGGTGAAATTCCTGTACAGATTAGGAACCTGAAAAAGTTGCAAACCCTAGATCTGTCTCATAACAATTTGACAGGGAGCATAGAAGTTCTTGGTGAACTCCTCTCCTTAGTGGAACTCAATATTTCAAACAATTCTTTTCGTGGTCTTGTACCAAAGAGGCTGATGAAGTTGCTTAATTCTTCGTTGTCATCATTCTTGGGCAATGCTGGCCTATGCATCAGATGTTCAGCATCAGACGGCACGGCTTGCACTGAAAGAAGCTCTATTAAATCATGTGATGACAAATCTACTAAGCAGAAAGGCCTCAGTAAAGTTGAAATTGTGATGATAGCTCTTGGGTCCTCCATATTTGTTGTTTTATTGTTGATGGGATTAGTTTGTATTGTTGTTTTTGGCAGAAAAGCTAAGCAGGAAAACCATATCTCTTCTGACGAGGGTTCTTCATCCCTTCTGAACAAAGTCATGGAGGCTACAGAAAACCTAAATGATAAGTATATTATTGGTAGAGGAGCCCATGGAGTTGTTTATAAAGCTCTGATAAGTCCAGACAAAGCTTTTGCTGTGAAGAAGATAGGATTTGCTGCTAGCAAAGGTAAAAACTTGAGCATGGTCAGAGAAACTCAAACCCTTGGGAAAATCAGGCATCGAAATCTGCTCAAATTGGAAGCCTTTTGGTTGAGAAAAGACTGTGGTCTAATTTTGTACAGCTACATGGCAAATGGAAGTCTCCATGATGTTTTGCATGAAAAGAGACCACTACCAACCTTAAAGTGGACTGTCCGGTACAAGATAGCTGTTGGAATAGCTCACGGGTTGGCTTATCTCCACTACGACTGTGAACCTCCCATAGTGCACCGAGACATCAAGCCCATGAATATACTTCTAGACTCTGATATGGAGCCTCACATTGCTGACTTTGGTATTGCTAAACTTTTGGATCAGTCTTCTTCAGCCTCAAATCCTTCCATTTTTGTGACGGGTACAATTGGTTATATTGCTCCAGGTAACTCTCGAACATTATTATTATTGATTGGATATTTCTTTCCTTTATAAATCTTATTATGGGGTAAGTAACATGTTTACATTGGTTGTTCGTGACATTGACAGAGAATGCTTATACAACAGCAAATAGTAGGGAGTCTGATGTATACAGTTACGGGGTTGTTTTGCTTGAGCTGATAACCAGGAAGAAGGCAGGAACAGATCCTTCATACATGGAGGGTACTGATGTCGTGGATTGGGTTAGGTCTGTGTGGAGTGACACAAGAGAAATCCATCAAATTGTTGATTCAATACTTTCAGGCGAACTTCTAGATACCCATATAATGGAAAACATTACCAAAGTGCTTATGGTTGCTTTGAGATGTACTGAGAAAGATCCACGCCAGAGGCCAACTATGAGAGATGTTGTTTTTGAATTATCAGATGCTAATCCAGGGACAAGAAATACAAAGGACTAACAGTTTTGCAACATGCATTTTACTTCCTATCTCACCAATCCAATGGAAAATTAGCTAATATTTGATAGTAATAATAGTACTAGTTGTACCATTTCAACCTTTGCTCCTGCTAAATACTTCTCTGCATGTTTCATTTTATAGATAGACTAAAAAGGTTTTAGATAGTTATGATATGTGTGTCACTATCCTTCCTTAAGAATCAACTTTAGCAACAAGAAAGTGTGATTACAGTTCTAAGTATTGAGAGATCCAGTGGAAATCTTGCCCTCACCTCTCCTTCATCTTCGTCTTCCATATATTCATCTCCTTGCAGAACTTCTCATCCTTCTATTATTATAATAATAATTAAAATAACAAATAATAATTATTTAAATTCTATTTCTTTTATATTTTTCTTTAACCATCAATTTCTATTTTCACTTTCTTTTAGTTCTTACCCACACTTCTTTTACTTTTATTTTCTTTTTCTCTGCCAACACACCGTGAAATATTCCCGTGTTACTTGTTTCTTCTTTTCTATTTTTTTAATAATTAATAAGTCAATATTTTTTATTTAACCAAAATTTAAAAGATAAAATACAAATCATTTTATAAAATTATTATTATTATTATTAAATGGTAATACAATTATGAATTTTGATTTGTAAAAAAGTTATGTATTTTAAATTAATGATTAAGATTTTAATAGCATCATAATTTATTAAATGCATGCATATATTTTATTATAGTTATATTTTGTTCTTTGGAATTTAAGAGGTATATATATATATATTACTTTTACTTAGTATTGTTCCATAAGGAACAACTTCTCTACTGCTTTACAAGGAGAGTTTTGTGACAATTCTTGCAGAAATTTTCTTCAATGAGGACAAGAAAAAAGTTTATTATGTTTATGAATTTTTTTTATAAACTTACATAAATAATATATAATATCATGACAAAAAAATCTAAAATATATAAATTTGTGCAAATTATTATTCTGCATTTCATACATTGAGAAACTGTATAAAATTTCATTATCAAATATAAAAAAAAGTATGGTGTTTATTTTTTATCATTTTTGAAAAATCAATAAACATATATATCAAAGAAAAAGGCAACATGGTCTAACCTATATGTATTTTTTCACTAATGTAGTTGTTGATATGTTGTATTCATTTTGATTAAGTCACTCCCACATTGTTTACACCCAAAAGAATGCTCTTTATGACTCCCAGTAAACTCATTTCCTACCTACCAATATGAGAATAACAGATACCAAATGCCTCATCAATAATCTATGTACTGTTACTAACATCACCCTTCAAGAAGTTCAGATTTTAGATTCAACAAGGTGAGATGTCTTTGTATATTTCAAATTAGTTTTAGACTTTAGACTGAACAAGTTGGGATGTCTTTATTAATTGACTTCTGATTATAATTTTAATGCTTATGATTATGATTTTAACTTTTAGTTCACACATAATTAAAATGAAAATAATTTATTGGGCTCTTTCCATTCTCCAACTTTGAGAAACAAAGCTTCAAAACACTGACTTTTTTTTTTTTTTTTTTTCTAAATAATCACTTAGGGTTCTAAATTATTTTAATTGATATTCCCACACAAATTCTACATACATTGTTTATAAGTTTAATTAAGTTTTCATTGAGAAAGAACTGCAATATGTTTTTCTAAAACATTCAATCATAAAAAATAACAAATTTAAAAGTTATATAATTAATCATAACTTATATGTCTGTTATTTTAACATAGATGAAGATATTCAATATTTTGTTTACTATCAGTAATTATATAATTTATATGAGTCAATTTTTATAATAACATGAAATACAATTTGAACATTACATATCAGTCTTATATAATTCATGAATATTATCAAATATTTTCTTTCATCAATTTAATTTTTTATTTTTTACTTTCCGACTTACTATTTTCTTATCAAATAAAGGTGGAAAAATAACTAGACCTGTTTGACATTTTTTTCATGTAACAAAATAATATTTTAAATTAAAAGATATATGCATGTAACTTTTTTTAGGTACTTATATGATCATTAACTTGTAATCTTACTTTTTACACGTAACTACGCTACGCTTGTTTATATTTACAATATTTAAGAAATTATATACAATAATGTTTATATTTTATTTATTTATTTAGATACATGCATTTAAAAAATAGTCTCCAGAGGATACTTAAAGGTTGTGTAGTAGTTGAAAACAAACAGAAAAACATATTTGAATGAAAAAAAAAAAAAAAAAAAAGTGAAAAAGTGGAGAGAGAGAGAGAGGAAGATGAAGGCTGTTGGACAAGATTTGATTTTTGTAGCGGAAGTGTCGGTGGTGTAAAAAGTAGAAAGCTTTATGAATAGCTATTAATTATGAGAAAGTGAGGGAGTTTGGTATTAGGCATTAGCTTTGATGTGGTGAAATGGCATTGTTTATGTCTTTGTATTTGTTGAGTGAGAAAGACTCAGTTTTGATGTGCTAGTCTCAGCTCAGTTCCACCCTCTTTCTTATCTTTCATCTGCTCAACTTTCAAATTTCATCTCATCCCATCTCACAGAGTGAAGGTCCCTTTTGTCTCCAGAGGGCTTATTAAAAAGGTGAGGAATTGAAACAGAAGAGGGAAGTAAGAAGATATGGGAGTGGATTTGAGACAAGTGGTGGCAGGTGTCCTCACCCTCACGATGTTTGTCATGCTTGGAAATATGATCAAAAGAGACCACTTTGATTCACTTCAAGTAACTCCTTCTTCTTTCTTTCTCCATCTCTTTTACCCTTCCACATTATTTGTTCATTCCCATTTCATACTTCACACACAACACCCACATAACCCTTATCTCACACAGCTTATCTATAGATACACTCACAAACTAGAGCCAGCAGAGAAGACCATAATTGTTTTACAGAGAATTTTCAATTAAGTGCTCACAAGAATGCTTTATAGTTGAACCTTTTCTTTAACGCTGCTCATTCATTCTCTTCAACACATTTCCATATCCGAACTTGCTGCACGAGGCAGTTCTTCCAGTTGGGTACAAATGTCAATTTCTATTGGCAGTCACTTAATGTTCTCTAATGATAGAATTTTGAAGGAAGTATAGAACTGTGGTCAAATAGGTTAATTAGTTAAATAAATAAAGCCCAGACTCTCTGATCTCTATTTCAGTCTTCTGCCACCCACTCTATCTCTATCTTTTCTGGGCAAACCAAACCAAGTTCAGAATACACTTCCGAGTATTTTCTAGAGCTGGTTTATTTTGACATTTACTCATTTTCAAAGACATTGATTTCATATTGTTACTTTTTACTATACAAGGAAAAGCTTCCAGGAGGATCGGAAGATTCCAATTTTGAGAATGCTAAGTTTGATGCTACTCACGTAAAAAAGAATATAGGACTTTGGAAGGGAGACGTGGATGACCTAAAACCGTGTTGGGTTAAGCCATCTGCTGGTAAGATTTTGTTGTAAGATTCACAAAAGTGTTGAGGAACTTATATCATACACATGCAACCAAATAGTAAATAGTAGACACTTGTGTTGTTCTGGGTGGCAGATGATGTGGAACAGACTGAAGGATTTGTTACTTTTGCATTAACCAATGGCCCAGAATACCATATTTCTCAGGTAACTTATTCAATCATTATGCTTAACTTATTTGAGAAGTTATTTATGTATCATTTATTCAAGTACTTGCAGCAGTTTTCAAACGTTGACAATACTTTCCATTTCATAATGCCCATCCCTGTCCTACAAATATAACTGGTTCCTTTATTGTGGATTATGTGAAAGAGGGAAAGATTATTTTGCGATCTGTGCAGCTCGTCATCTGATGTTGATTATGTGAAGTTTTACTATGTTTTACTACAATGCTATTCATGTCACTCTTTATTAAAATGCATCATTGTAAATTTTGTGCTTATTATTAGCATATTCATTCATTATTCTCATTCCTCTCTCATGTCTTCCTGTATCAACATTGCCCATTTAAATGGCTGATATTTGTATATATTTTCCCAACCAAAGACTATTCATAAATTGGTGGATTGCGCTGCATGTGATTCTTTCATTTACCTGTGCTTTCAATCTAGAACTTATCCTTGAAGTCTAGCATTGGGTTGAACACTTTAGAAGAGTAATGAAGAACTGCTTTGCCACTTCTTTTCCTCCTTGCTGACTGTTGTTGTTAGTTGCTTACGTTAATATTCCTCAGTTCTTTATCTGTTGCCACATAGCTTTAGATGTACAACTATAATATACATAAAAAAATGTACTCATATCCTGATAGATATGCTTGATTCCCTTGCCGATTTGTAATTGCAATTATTGTTTCCTTATTGTCTAACACTCTAATGATGGTTGTCAGATAGCAGATGCAGTGATTGTTGCTAAAAGTCTAGGGGCAACGCTTGTGATACCTGACATCAGAGGAAGCCAACCTGGTGACAAGAGGTTAGTGCTGAATTTTATTCTATAAAATACTATACTTGCCAGAGGTTAGTAATTTTACAATTTTGTTTTCAAAGGAGTTTGCATATGTTGCATCCTCTGTTTGAGGTTGATCCTCTTTTTTTGTCATCACATCAACCAATATGCGTAAGCTGTTGATTTGAACAATAAGTCAAAAGTAAATTAGGCTTATTTCTCAACTGCCGAATATATAATTAGGGTCTAAATTTTCTCAAAAACCAACCTTGTCCTTTCTCCTAAAAACTAGAGCTTTTGGATCATTGGTCCTAGACATAAGTGATGCTAGTTTATTTTAATTAATCTTTTCCAGACATCTTGCGTTAAGATTTTTGTAGCTATTAAGAAACATTTTACAAGTGATGGAAGTAACTATCACGAGGAAAGGTGTAGGTAGGTGGTTTCTATTTGTGATTTATATCAACCACATGATTGAAAAGCATGGAAAAAAAAAGTTCATATAAGCTGTGCTGTTATAAGGTTTACTTGTTAATGTTTGTGGTTCATTTTGATGTTCCCTATCCTCATCCTTATTTAGAAGATAATACATCATTGTTGCAGACTAAAAGTAAAATAAAAAATGGATAGTGCACTCCATTAAACAAAAGTAATCTGCAGCATACTTAATTGTAGATGTCATTGATCAATAGCTCTTGATGAACTCAATTTTCAATTCAGTGTAATTTACTTTTGAGTGTAATGGTGTACATGTTCCTAACTAATATCATTGAAATATCAGGAATTTTGAGGACATTTATGATGTCGATGTGTTCATGAAAAGCATGGAAGGGGTGGTCAGAGTGGTAAAGGATCTTCCTGCTCGAATATCAACACGGAATATTGCTGCTGTGAAAGTTCCTAATCGGGTTACAGAAGATTACATATCTGAACATGTGGAGCCAATATACAGAACAAAGGGAAGTGTAAGACTTGCAACTTACTTCCCTTCAATAAACATGAGAAAGGCCGGGAAAAAAGGCGACACTGATTCTGTTGCATGCTTGGCAATGTTTGGAAGTTTAGAGTTGCAGCCAGAAATGCATGAAGTGATTGACTCAATTATTGAAAGACTAAGAACCTTAAGCCGAAATTCAGACGGTCAATTTATAGCTGTGGACTTGAGGGTTGATATGTTGGACAAGAAGGGATGCCAAAACAGTGATAATGATGGGGAGAAAAGCTGCTACAATGCACAAGAGATTGCAGTATTTTTGAGGCAGATTGGTTTTGACAAGGAGACCACAGTTTATGTGACTGAATCAAGGTGGGATAGCAGCCTTGATTCTCTCAAGGATTTGTTTCCTAAGACGTACACAAAAGTAAGATAAGTTGTTCATGTCTCTTATTCATTCAAACTAAAATCATTGTTTTATTTGTCCTTGAAAGTAGACATGAAATCCTTGTCGGTTATTGGTTGGTGCAGGAAGCCATCATGCCTGCGGATAAGAAGAGAAAGTTCCTGGAATCTGAATTTGAGAAGGTGATTGACTTTTATGTTAGCGCAGAGAGTGACGTGTTCGTTCCGGCAATTTCAGGTCTGTTCTATGCAAATGTAGTTGGAAAGAGAATAGGTTCTGGAAAAACACGCATATTGGTTCCGGCTTTATCTGCTTCAGCCTCCAATTTTCTCTCTCCTTATGTCTCCAACAAAAACCACTTTGCTTATTCTTGTTACTGTTAGCAACAACTCTGCATTTATTTATTTATGCTCCAAGACACAATCTCAGTTCCCCGAAACTGCTCTCACGTTATGGCTTTTTGCGTTCACCAAAAGGGACGATGAGCTATTCTATTCAAGTCACCGTCAGATATGTACAGAGCGTTTTCTGTTCATCACAGTTTGTTTGTAAGATTCTGGTTGCCTCATTTATTTATCATCAGGTAGTCGTGGTGAAACTAAAGATGGTGTATTTGTCTGATATCTCCATGGTATAATGGCATCACATGTATTGGATTTTTTGTGATAAAAAAGGTATATCTGTTCGTGGGAATAGGATAATTTTTATGCATAGTTCCGTTATTTTGTGACATGCTTTTTTGAGTTTCAAGATGAAATCATATCATTTCAGACCATAGTCATTTTTCTTCTTTAACTGATCATTTACTTAAAGATTTTGATTTTATTGTTGGTGAGATGATGAGGGGACAATTTCTCAATCTATAACTATAATAAAAGAGATGGAGTGAAAAGAGAAAAAGGGTGGAAGTGAATATGATGGAAATTTCCAAATTAGTTAACTAACCCTGCCACATGATTACCTTGTCTGACTATGATGGATGATTGTGTGGATGTTGATCCAAGATAGGGTTGACTGGGTTGAATGGGAGATTATGTGTAGGAATAGGATGATGTAATGTTGCAATAGTGTTGCAGACGCAAATAGGCCTAATGAACATTTTCTTGGCTCTTACACCCTGTTTGTTTCTAACCACGAGCGGCGAACAAATGCTCGCTCTGATTTTACGTATTTTATGATAAGAAAGTAAATGAGAAAAATCCCCTTAAGATAGATATCTACTCATTCATAGAAAAATGAGAAAAAGTAAAATAAAAAAATAAAAAAATCAAGATTATGTCTTAAAAGATATGTTCAATTTTTTTGAATTAATTTATTCTTTTATTATTATAATAATAATAATTAATTAAAAAACATACTATAAATTATATTAAAATAATAAATAAATTTATTAATAATAAATAAATTTATTAATAATAAATAAATTTATTTGATAGGTCAATATCATACATGTTTACCTTAATTAGGTTAAGTTATGTATTTTTTAGGATCTACGTCTAAATTATTATAATTAGATGAGATGGCCAATAGGTAAATAAACTTTTTGGATATTTATCAATTATATGGAATATATACTTAATTATGTTATTTTAGATATAGTTGTATGGATACATTACCAATGCGCTATGACATATTATTTATTAAAAATTTAAATCGTATGAGAACCATATTTTATTTTTGAAAAATTAAAATTAGATGAAGTCATGCCTAAAAAAATTGCTATATATTATTGTTTGATTTGACAAGTTTACGACATAATAAACTTGTAAGTTTTTTCCAATGTTTAAATTCCTATAAAATAAATTTAAGAAGAATAGGATTGGTATATATGTAGTATGTAGAATAAAGAGCATACTACACATTCTAGATGAAGGAGTAACAGATATTGTTAGATGTGAGTTGTTAGCTAATTAACTATGATTATGAACTTCACGTGATCCTTTGGCAAGAGGTGTTGTCTATGGTGAACTATTGAGTTGCATGGGACTTGGATATCTTCAATCTCCTGAGTGACTTGGTTAAATATCGAGACAGTGGTGTTTTGGGAACTGGAATGAATTTTCCTACTATGGCAAGAGGCCAGCTGTTGCAATTAAGGTTAAATTAATCAGCTGTTAGCTAGCAAAGCATGGCATAAAATATGTTGATTTAGGTTAAAGGTAGGACAGTGTAGTACGTTAACTAACCTTAAAAGCCCAATACAAAGAGAGGCAAGCCACAGGTTCCAGCTAAGCTTCACTGTCGTTGTAAATTTTCCAAGGAACTCGATGATGATTATCTAACAATTATTAACGTACTTAGTGTCAGAAATATTGCACCAGATTATGTAACAAGAGGGATGCCTATATACTATTCATTCACCTGAAGCACAAAGGTCATTCCAACAATTCCCATGAAGAGACGGTTCTTAGTCACTCCCTGGAACACATTCATCTCTTCTGGTTTTCGGGCGTTGAACTCGTTGAATATCTGTCAGTTGAATCATTATAAAACTACTCTTCAGTAAAAATTCAATGAATTAAAATAACATTATTGCTATGGGTGAATAAAGGGTGTTCAATCCATCAATCCCAGACAAATCTTAAACCCCAGTCAAGAAAAAATTCACTTACTTGGCAAAAGACGAATGCATTGAAAATTAAAGTATTCTTCACTTGTATGGTATGGGCTGCAGAATCCTTATTATGTAGAATACTTTCACCACCGAAGTGAAGAACTAGAAGAACAATGACTTGATAGAGGGCCTGCAATGGCAAATTAATATAATTAAATGATAGGATCTAAACAGCCCTATGTTTCTCTAATGATCTTAACAAGTCTCTCTGTAGAATAAAATATACTTTTACCTGTACAACCAAGTTCCTCCACATGATATTTGTTATAAGAGGTTCCCTGAAAGCCAAACATAAGATCGAAGTAAGCCAAGTGTGTTTTCAAGTGACTATTTGCAAACTTGATTTCTAAAATTAATTTCTATTAAACTTTAACTTGAAGCGAAGGGAATTTGTGATTTATACTTGAAAAATTTAGAAATTGCAATACAAATGAGAATAAAATGATAGATATATCACGCTGCATGTGACTATAATCAATCAAGTACTGCATTAGGTATTAAATGTGTGCTTGCATTTACATTCCAGCATCACACAGGTTTAAAAGTATTGAATGCATGTGAAGCTGTAAAGCAAGAGAGCCCATCAAAACCTTCGGCCAACTGGTGATCTGTGCATAAGGCTGTCTGTTGGCGGTTCCGTAGCCAGTGCAAGAGCTCCAAGTGTGTCCATTATAAGGTTGACCCACAAAAGCTGTACCAAACCAAGAGCATATGTACATTGGAACCCAATAGGTAGGAGAGGGGTAAACGTAGCTAAATGTGACTCTGTCTGTAATTTGAATCATGCAACTGCAAAGAACGAATTATTCAACTAAATTAGAGAAGAAAGAGGAACCATACCTGTACAGCATTTAAAGGAACATCACCAGAAGATATTGATGCCACAACATTTATTACAAGAGCCGCAACATTAACAGTGAGCTGGAACTGAATAAATTTCTGAATATTTGCATATACAGAACGGCCCCAGCGAACAACCTACACAAAGTGAACAACACATCTTAGATAACTTACAGATCAGACCAATCCACACCAATGCTTCCGTCTCCATTAAATAAATTTATCTCTTCTCAAGCAAAATCAAATTACATATACTCCTCCACTTTGGCTTGAAGATGGCTGTTTATTGCCTATGGTAACTTAATTACAGTCAATTAGTATCTTGCATAAAAGGTGAAAAGAATATAGGTTACAAAATAAAGATTAAAATAAATTATTTTATAAGTGTATTTTTATCAATTTTTGAAATATATTTATATAATTTGGAGTTTTAAGGGGTTTCTATATTTTAAAACTTATTAATAAATTTCTGTGATTCATTTGATTTTGAATTTAAATTCTTCTTAATTATAAATTTTATGAATAATTCAGAAAATTTTATCAATAACACCAAATGACATATTGATGATTCAAGATAACTTAACTTAGTCTAATAAGTCATAGGCCAGCAAAAACCTATTTAGTCATTTATAAGCTGTTATTACCTAGTTAAAAATCTAATAAAGATTAAAATAAAAAGCTCTATGGCTAAAAAAATGTATGTAACTTCAAAGGTGTGCATGTGAAATCATGTACCAATGGCGCACACACAAAAAGGTAATAATATTGCATATGCTCTTGCTGAGCAATCCCAAAAACAACATTGAAGAAATTTTACCAACTCTTCACAAATTACAATCCATGATAACTTATCGCAGTTCAATCCAAAACCTTCTTTAGATAAAAAATTTATGAGTCTTTCACGTGATATTGTTCAACTTGTCCATTTTTACACAACCAAAAACGGATGCTTTTAAATGAATAAATGACAATTACCTTTACTACAGATGCAAAGTTATCATCCAAGATAATAATATCTGAACTTTCTTTTGCAACTTCTGTTCCTTGGATGCCCATAGAAAGACCAATATCTGCCTAAATTACAAAATAGTAAAACACAATATCAACTATAATAAATAAATTAACATAATTGATAGACTCTAGGTTTTGATGATGAATTTTACATTTCAACTTTAAACATGCAGACGATCTGTTTCCATGATTGAAGTTATATGATGATTTATTTTTTAGCATGACTCATATATTTGAATATAGAGATAATACAGGTGTTTTATGCTTTATATGAAAATTCCTTGATTATAGCCGTTGTTATTATATGGATCAATATGTTTTCTTATTGTTTTGTAACCCACTTGAGTAAAGTTTTGAAGTAACTTATATTCAGTGTGTCTTTTGAAGTAACTTATGATGAAATCTATTCAACTAAATATTTCATTTGCTGACTTTGATATCACTATATATCACTGTGCCTTAATTAGAACAAACAATTAAAGCAACAACAGATACCAACTCAAGTGAACAAAAGCAACAACTACTAGAATTGCATAAATACGTGTATTCCTCACTTTACATGAGTCAAATCTCTCATAAGGTATACAACAAATTGCAGAAACTCCAACTCGTATTATACACGTGTGTTTGTCCACTTTTTATACGCAGATTCATTCTAAAGAAAAAAGGAGAAAAAAAAAACATCTTAAACATCAAAGTATTTTCAGCCTCGAGACCTGTATGTCCAAGAAATATACAGACCTCATGAAGTGCAGGGGCATCGTTGGTGCCATCTCCTGTGACAGCAACAACTTCACCACCTTTACGTAGTGCTTGCACAAGCAACAGTTTGTCAGTAGGAGAAGACCTCCCCATCACCTATATATATATATATATATAAACATTTGTATATCAAAAGTATATATATTTAACACGTGAGGAATTTATTGCAGCATATGTAATTAGAGTGAACAGCTTGTAAGAATAATAGTAGTAAAGATTAATAATATTCTCGATTATTTTCAGGAAATGAATATCACAAGAAATCACAATGAACGAACAGTACTGTTATCTGTTTTGCAAATTGTTCCCTTTCGATTTCAGATAGTTCACGGAATGTCTTTCCTTCAATTATATTTGGCTCAACAGCATCTTCATTAGACATCAGTATTCCACACTCCAAAGCTATTGCTTTTGCTGTTTGAAGATTATCACCGGTAACCATGCGTACCTGTGAGTTCACAGATATACAATGTTGGGTTGCCTTGGTTTTATATTTTGGAATAAGGACAAAAACTCATGCAAATTTATAAAAGCAGAATCCGCATTCCAACACTGCCAATATCATTTCAATGAATAGAAATCAACATATGAAAATATCTTGCTATTTAATCAACATGAATACTATACTTGTCAAAGATAAAATTATATATTACCTTAACGCCAGCTTCAGTGCATACTCTCACAGCTTCCTTGACACCAGGGCGACAAGGGTCCTGAAATCATTCAGATTAATGTAGTCAGATGAACTGTGAAGGCTAGATTTGAAGGTATTAAGAACAAAAGTAAGGTCCAAAGCATACAGTTCATATACAAAATAGGAAAAAGAAACATTGACACTTCTTCAAACAAAATCAACCCTTCAACAACTCCTATAATATAATAATAATAGAATTTTAAATTTGTATTTATTATTATTATAATATTAAATATGAATTGTAGGATGGATGAATGTAAAATTTAAGGATGTCAATGTATCAACTCTCATACAAATAATATAACAATATCATATTAAAATGTTTATATAAGAATTTCAGCCTCAAAATTTGCAATCTTCATTAAACATGTAAAAGCAGGGAACATATCAAGTGAGAATATGTGAAGAACTAATCTTGACCATTTAATCTTACTTGATGTTCACCAATACTTCTTCTCACCACTTACACTTTCACTTGATATGTTATGTCTGTTGCTGCTCTTTTTATTTAGAGAAATGCAAGCATAGGGCACAAACAAATGTCAACAACGTTAACACATTTTAACAGTGAAAAATGAATCTTGCATTGAACCTTTATTCCAACAATAGCAAGCAAGACCAGCTCATGTTCTGGCAAGGACCACTGGGCTAATTCCTCCTCATTAGATGGAATTTTATTTAAATCATACGATCTGTATGCAATGGCAACACAGCGCAAGCTCTGAGTAGCCATGTCTTCGATACCTTTCTTGAAGAATACCTGAGAATATTTAAATAAATATAAATTTATATACATAGGAAAATACTGCGAAAAATAATGATACCCAATATATAATTGGACAAGTTGGCATTGGAGTAACTTCAGAAACATTCTTTAATATGGATAAAGTGATTTTGCGATATATGATTTAAAATTTGGTTAGCTATCAAACAAAGAAAAGGTTTTCTTTTTAATCTCCATTGGTTCATGATTTTAGTTCCTCAACAAAGTTTCTATCACATGAAGCTGTTGTTACACACCTTCTCTTCTTCAATAGGTTTCAAGTGACCATCACAATCAAGATATTGAGTACACGTTCCTAGAACTATCTCCGCAGCTCCTTTCCAATGAATATGAACTACATTGTCCGGCTGTCAAGCAAATTACATTCAGTATTTCTAATTATCATATGAAAGTTAATGAAAACATCCAACTGATATGATTCAATACTAGAAAAGTAAACATAAACCAATTCTGCAGATTAAATAAATTCAAAATGAGAATAAAGATTGAAAGCACATGGTTTGGATATTTATGTATCATAATGGCTATGAGATACAAAAAAAAAATGATGATTTGGAAATAATTGTATCAAATGATTACCAGTTTCACAGCAACGCCACCTCGCTTTTTCTCAGAATTGAAGGGGAAGACATGGAGAACTGTTGAATTTGATCTAATAAAATCAAAATTCATCCCCAACTGCCACGGGATTCAAAAGATAAGTTCACCTTCAAAATCATTACCAATCTAAGCAAAACAAAAAATGGAGGAAAAACAATACGGGTACCTTCACTGCCCAAGAAAGAATTGCCTTCTCTGTAGGAGATCCTGACACCTCCATCGCTCCACCATCCTACCAAAGCAAATGCATACACAGAATGTAACGATAAATAGATTAGATATTAATGCCATGATTCAAACATTCATGAAATACGAACCACAGATGCAACGCTAGATAATTAAAAGTAGAAGAGCATGTTAGTAAATAACCATCAATCAAATTGTATTTTATTACCATTCACAAGAAGACCTGTGTGATCTCATACTAGTGAAAACAACTCAGCAAATAATTTTTTTTTTAGCTTATAAAAGTGTTTGATTTATATTGATCTATACAAAACAAACCAGCCACAATTAAACAACACCACCCCTACTAGTCCTAGTCATAACTCCAATTTTTATGTAACTTAATTAAGAAGGGTTTTATCTGCTTCAGGTAATATGTCACAGGAAGAAAATAATTTACAGCCACAGACAGGAGATATATTAGTGCTTGCAAAAGAACGGTCATGTAACATTCATTTTTGTATCGAATTCAAAAACTGCAAACCCTACCTCTAAATTCGAAACTCTTTGCTTCCGATCTTGTTATGAATTTTTTTTTCAACTTTCTTATTAATAAAAAAATATTATTAAACATTAAAATTAGAAATAAGCAAAGACTAAAATCATATTTAGTCATTTTATCAACTCTATTAAAATAAAAAATATCATTAAATAATAAATTTAACTATAAAGATAAGTTTGAAAAAAGAAAAATACAGGGACAATTTTTCCCTGAATATAATTTATAAAATACATATATGAAAAAAAAATATTATAAGTTCTTTCATGTCCCAATATATAACTAATTTTGTTTTGAGATTTTTTTCCTTTTAAATCGAGTACCTAATAAATTATAAAATTTTGGAAGTTTTTTATTTTATCTTTACTATTATCTTAACTCTTTTTAACTAATCATTGAAATATTTTATAATTCTATTTTATTCCTTCAATTTATTTTTTATCATAACAAATATGTTTTCCATTATAGACATAGTACAGAAATAATTTAATGCAACATTGTAAAGGAAAAAGTAAGACCTTAGGCACAAAAACATTGCCAGTTGTATTTTGTGAAATGCCCTCATTTATCAGAGATAGAACTTGCGGATGCAATTTTGTCAAGTCATCTGGTTGATTTAATTTCTTCCTCCCAACATATGCCTCAACTACAGTCATCTATAATCCAAAAAACAAGTTATAATCAAATACTGATAATTCAAGTATTTCAACTAAAATGAAGTAAAAAAATGCAGATATAGGTGTTAGGCAGAATCAGCAAACAGCCTGTATTAGATAGATTATGCCTATATAAGATTAGGGATATATTGCCAGAAAGGTTTGGTCTCAATTGGCATCCGGTGAGGTTCAAGCCTTTTATCCTATGTTTTTGCACCTCTAATGTGACCCGTATCAAACATTTGGAGTCATTTACTGATTGGATGTTTTACTGTTGGGTTTTTACTTAGGAGAAACATTAACCAATTTTCATGAAAGGACGAAATTTCAAGATACTATATTTGAAGTCAATTTTCATGAAAGTGTGAGGAGCACATTATACGAGGAGTTTCAACAAAGTGTATAGGTACACATCTTTAAACTTCAAATTCTAAAACATGAGTTTGAATAATTGAATATGAAGGAGTTTGAGATCGTTAAGAATTGTTATACTAGAATAAAAGAGATAGTCAAATGAGAGCATGTAGAGAAAATATTCTTTACAAGAAAATTATCGAAAAAATTCTAAATTTTATTTCTCATAAATATGATATAATTGTGACAACAATAAAATAAATGAAGGATCTATCTACCCTATTAGTGACAGAACTAATAGGGTCTCTTGAAGTATATGAACAAAGATTAAAAATGTATAGTTTAATGAAGACTTTATCGAAAATGTATTTCAATCAAAACTTAGATTACGTTCTTAGAATAAAGAAAATCGAAGAAATGTCTAGAAATAAATAAAACTCTAAAAGTTTCTCTAAGTTCAAGCAAGACAAATAGCCTATGTGATTTGCAAAAAGTCAAGTCACCTAGAGAAAGATGAAGAACATATTAGATTTGATGAAGTCAATCTAAATTGAGCCACACGATTTGATGAAATCTAGGTGATACATTATGTTTTTTGTGTGTGTGTCTAGAGTGTGAAAGTATGTCTGCTTTAATTCATTCTCTAGCTAATGATGTTCTAAGTAAGTAAGAATGTCTCAATCTTTACTAAATCTTGTTTTAGAACTGTTTTAATATGTTAGAATTGTATTTAATATGTTAAAATGTTATTTTTAATTGATAAAAATTTGAAATAATCGATTAGTTTTATTTAAACACTTGATCATCATTATGTTCGAAGTTTTAATCGATTAACCACTATTTTTACCCATTAAAATTCTCTTGATGACATTTTTGGAATATATAGTTCACGACTTTAATAAATTAAAACAACTTGTTATCAATTAAAATGTTCTTGTAACTTAGTGAAAATTATGTCTTCACTGTTTTAATTGATTATTTGGTGATTTCATCAATTAAAAATGACTACTAGACATTAAGGAAAAATGTCTCACAGCTTTGATTGATTAATATTGTTTCATCAATTAAAATATATTTCTATACTTAGAGTAATTTTCGCTTGCTTGCTGTTTTAATCGATTAAAAGTGTTTTTATCGGTTAAAACAACTTATTGAAGTTTTCGAGAGAGTTTTACAACTCTGTTTTAATTGATTAAAATTACAAAATAATAGATTAATTAATCGTTTTAGTGAAAAAAAATTGATTTAATCAATTAAAATTGACAGCTTTTCCTATATAAATAGTTTTGATCTTTCTTTTCAAACATACAATTTGTGAAAAGTTTTTAGTAATCTTTTGAGAGATTTTTTTAGAGTTTAACGTGTGCTTTTCACTTTGGGATAATTCAAAACAATTTTGAGACATTTCTTATACTTTCTTGGAGAGATTTCTTAAAGATTGTGATTTTGTACTTAGAGTGTTTTGTGATATAATCTTTTCAGGTGATTTCTATTTTTGTACTCTTTATCTTCTAGTGTACTTGGTGATGGGTATTGGTTTATGGCGACCTAGTATAGGTTATTGGTGGTTTCAAGAGTGATTCTTGGGTGTTCAAAAAGCTCTTGGGGTAGATTGAGTGTGTCTATTAGTTTGTAATTATAATTGAGTATTGATTTAGTGGAACTCTTGTGTTGAGAACTGAATGTAGCTCTGATGGTTGGGTGAACCAGTATAAATCTTGTGTCTTCTTTTCCTATATCTCTTACTTCTTGCATTTATTTTTTGTTTCTTACTTTCTCAATTAACTCTTGAAAAGCTTGAAAAGAATTAGTTTAATTCAGAAAATATTTTGAAAATTTTAAATAGTTCAATTCACTCTCCTCTTTCTTAGCCAATTTTCTTAACAAAAGATTGTTGACATTACAGAAAATAGCAATATCAACATTGCAAGAAAATTGAACATGTGGAGAAGAACTAACGTAGCAAAAACAAACATCAAGCAAATTTAGTTGAAAAGCATTGTACTTGGATGACGAATACAATAATGGCATGGTCAAAGACGAAAACATCTTCAACCACATTGACAATTAAAATTAAAGTGAAAGAGTGATTGAGAAATGATACCTTAGTAGAGTCAAAAGGAAGAGACATTGTCACAATAAAAACAAAGAAAGATACGAGACTTATTAAAGATGTCTTACTCGTTCCTAATCTTAAAGAAAATCTATTGAGCATTGATCAAATGGTAGAGAAAGGTTATATTCTTCACTTTAAAGAAGATACATACAAAATCTATGACAATAAAAGACAAGATAGAAAAAGTTAAAATGGACAAAAGAAATAGAAAATTTCCTATAAGCTTCAAATATACTACTGATATTGCCATAAAACTCTAAGTTGAAGATTTGGTATCGAAGATTTGGTCATTTCCACACCCATGCCTTAAAGTTATTATATCATAAGTATAGGATGAGAGGTATCTCATACCTAAAAGAGAATAATGAAACCTATAAAGAATGTCTTTTAAGGAAACAATACATATTATCATTTTCAAGTGACAAAGTATGGAGAACAAAAGATATTTGTGGAATGATGAGGACACCATCAGTAAACAACAAAAAATACTTTATCCTTTTCATCAATGATTTTTTCTAGAATAACATGGGCTTACTTCATCAAAGAAAAATCAAAATTCTTTGCAATAATCAAGAAATTTAAAGCTCTTTCCGAAAAACAAAGCGGAATATAGATAAAAGTTTTAAGAAGTATCGAAGTAAATAATATAACTCACACAAATTTGATAAGTTATGTGGAGATGAAGAGATAGAAAGACAACTTACAATTGCATATACACCACAATAGAATGATGTATCAAAAAGGAAGAATCGCACATTGATGGAGATGAAAAGATCAATGATGGGCAGAAGTAGTCTACACTATCGTGTATATACTTAATAGATGTCCAACTAAGGCAATCCAAGACAAAATTCCAATTGAAGCTGGGAGCAGTCAAAAACCATCAACTAAGCACTTAAAAGTTTTCGTATCTATTTACTACATACATGTGCCATATCAGAAAAGACATTCATTAGAAGACAAAACTATACAAGGAGTCTTTTTAGAATATAACACACAAACAAAAAGCTATTGAGTCTACAACTTATAGAAAAAGAAGCTCAACATTAGCAGAGATGTTGAAGTTGATGAAAGTGTTTCTTGAAATTGGGAAGAATGAAGAATAATGAGAAACAACATCTTCGTTCTAGTACAATAATATCAAGAAGAAGCTTCAAAAGTAGCAAAAGATCCAAGTATGTTTCCTTCATCAACATAACATGATTGTTCACCAGAATCTACCCTTAGGACACTACTAAAAAGTTACTTATTTCCTGCAAATTTTCTTGTAAAAAATAATTTAAATTTGTAGAAAACTTATTTCTTGCAATTTTTATAAAAAATTTGCAAAAATATTCACATGAAATATGAGAATTTCTAAAGATCCTCGATGGATAAATATGAATCATGCAACGTGGCATTATTTGAGCATAAATGTTGAAGGGATTGCAAAGCGAAAAGTTTGGATTAAGACAATTAGAGGAAGAAATTAAAATGATTGAAAAGAACAATACTTGAAAGTTAGTAAACTGTTCTCATAGAAAAGATGTCATTGGAGTAAAATGGGTCTATAAAACAAAACTCAATCCTGTCAGCACCATACAAAAGCACAAGACTAGGATGGTAGCAAAGGGCTATTCACAAGAATCTAGAGTTGACTACAATGAGAAATTTGCCTCAGTTGCTCACCTAGATACAATTAGAGCTTTAATAGCTCTTGCATAGCAAAAAGGATAGAACATTCACCAATTATATGTCAGATCAATCTTTCTAAATGGTGGTGTACTTTAAAAAGAGATATACGTGGAGTAACACATGACTTTATAAACAAAGGAAAGGAAGTCAAAGTATTAAGGGTAAGAAAAACACTATATGACTTAAAGTAAGCTCCTTGAACATGGTACAATAAAATTGATCAATACTTCACCGATCAAAGATTCAAGAAGAGTAAGAGTGAGTCAATACTATACATCAAGACTCAAGGTCAATATGATACAGTTATTGTCTCTTTATATATAGATGATCTTATCTACACAAGAAACAGTATAGAGATGATAAGGAAATCCAAAGAAGACATGATGAAAATATTTGAGATGAGCAACCTTGGCTTGATGAATTATTTCCTCAATATAGAGGTAAGACAACAAAAAGAAAGAATATTTATCTCTCAAAAGAAATACACTGAGACTCTATTAAAGAAGTTCAAGATGTATGATTGTAAATTTGTAGCTACTCCACTCGTGACAATGAGAAGTTACGAAAAGGTGATGGAATACAAGAAGCTGATGCATCATGCTACAAAAGTTCGATTGAAAGCTTATCATATCTTACAGTTACACGACTATATATCATGTATGCTACAAGCCTTCTGTCAAGGTTCATGCAAGACAACGCTAGATTCACTTTGGAGCATCAAAAAGAATTTTAACATATCTACATGACACAAAGAAATTGGTATATGGTACAAAAAATGACCAACTCAAACTTGGTTGGCTACACTGACAATGATTGGACAGGATCTATAAAAGACATGAAGAGTAAGTCAGGTTATGCTTTCTCCCTTGGATCGGGATTTTTCTGTTAGACATCTAAAAAGCAAGGAACAATAGCACAATTAGAAACAAAGACAAAATACATGACAACAACTGAAGCTACAAGTCAAGCAATATGACTTTGAAGAATACTACAATCTACTGTGACAACAAATCAACAATAACGATGACAAAGAATCCAATCTATCATCAAAGAACAAAATACATAACTATAATATCACTTTATTAGAGAGGCTAAAACAATTAAACAAATTCAAATTAAGTACTATGCTACAAAAGATAAAATTACAAACATATTTACAAAGCCACTACTAAGAACCAAGTTTGAGTAGTTGTAATTCATGCTCAGAGTTACAAAAATTTCCATCAAGAAGGAGTATTAAAATAAATGATACAAATTTTCAAAACAATCTAGAAAACATATTTGATATAGAATTAAGAAGAATCTAAAAAATTATAAATAGGATAGTCATTCTAGAAATATATGAAAGTAAACTAATATTCTAGAAAATGTAGAGTTAGGAAAAAGTATAATTATCTAAAATATTGTAGACTACTTTGGAGGTAGTGGATCAGGCCTATAAATAAACAAGGCCATTTGTTTAGTATGTGCAATATTAATACAAACTCCTTTGTATTTTCCTTCTAAGTTCTCAAATACCTTTTTTTAAGCTCCTCACTACTAAACAACAAATCAACCTTGCCTACTCTTCCTAAAATACTAATAAATCTTCATGAAATTAGATTATTTAAATTTCTAAAACCCAAGTACCAAAAACGACTATAAAAACCATTTTCATTTTTAATATAAAAATAACACTCGGTGTACCACAAGAAAGCTTAATTTATTTTTGGGAGACCAATCTGTTATGAACCCAATAACAACAGAGATGCATCAATTAGATGACTCTTGCGATCTTTTATTAACATACATAAATGTAAATTTTGGCCATAATTCCACGCGGACTATCCAATCCTTAGGCCAAGAACCCACCTGATTCAAGGTCAAAGTTCCAGTCTTATCACTGCAAATTGTTGTAGCAGATCCCATTGTTTCGCACGCTGACAGCCTTCGCACCTGCACAATATATAAAATATGTTTCAAAACTGAATATGAAAGTCAAGAAATAATTGCAAAGTTTATAAGATACTACGGTGACTGTTGGAGCACGAAAGGATACTTACCAAAGCTTTGTCTGCCATCATTTTCCGCATTGAGTATGCCAAGCTATCATGATTATGGTAAAGGAAGAAAATTACAAAGATTATAATGACTCACCATACAGCTTAGTTTTTGTTACAACTTGTGTTGTACAATGAAATAACTAGCAGCATTTACTTACGTTAAGGTAACTGCTAAAGGTAGACCTTCGGGCACTGCAACCACCACAATTGTTACCTGCATGGTTCTATATTTAGTTGAAAAAACTACTACAAAATAAGTTTTTAAACATAATTCAGAATTCGAACTTACAGCAATGGTAAAAATTTTGATGACTCCATCTACTGCTTCACTAATACTGGTCTCTCCAGTAATAAATTGTACTTTTCCATCTAAATCTTTCGTATGGCCAGAGAAGTATCTAGCATTCCATAATCATTACATGACTAGTCAAAGTTGGCAACGATCTTGTATTAATAAGTTCATAACAGCAAAAGAACAGCTGATGTTTACCTCCCCAAGAGGACTGCAAGGACACAAACAGCTACAGTAAGCCCCACTATGCCAATAAAAGTTGCCACTCCATTCAAACGAACCTATTAAACGTTAAAAGTTTAAGTGTGACCTATCTTTCTATAAAGTAATACAGCTAAAGAAACAGTTCTTAGTTTGAATACGAGTGGGGGGAACCTGTAATGGAGTCTCTTCTCCAGTATCCTCTGAGATACTTGCCATCAACAGTCCCCACTCAGTATTTATACCAACACCAGTTACCTACAGATGACAGCATAAAATGAGTCTGGGTAGTAGCATTCTGAAAATTTTTGTTTTGTGTGCTTAAATATATGCCACTAGAATCATCAAATAGGTGTACGAAAAACTTCTACATCTCCATAAGGACCATGAATGGCAAAAAGGCAATTAAATTTGAATCAATAAATAACTGATATGAAAGAATTAAATTCGTTGCATTTTAAAGACACAAGCAAACTAATAGAATAATAATTTTAAAAAATATTAGGAAAATATTGAAAAAAATTGTTGGGAAAATTTTGAAAACAATGAAAAACTAATTTTATGTTATAACAAACAAACAAAATGTTACCATTTATACTTTTATTGATTAATGTAATTGTTAAAACTATAAAGGCTAAGGTATAGAGGGAGGAAAAGGAGGCAATAAAATTTATTTATAGTGTGAATTAATGTGTGTTATTCAATGTGACATAAAGACAAAAAACATCCCTATTTTAAGTTGTACTAGACTTTTAATCCTAAAAACATAAGAAAAATAAGGGAATGTAAAAACTAATCCTAAAAGATAAACACAACAAATAGTAATGGAAATATGCCAAAATTCCCCCTCAAACTCAGGTACGAGCATATGGAACCAACTTGAGTTTGAAAACCAATGTAGTGCAAGGTCAAATATGATTGGTAGAGATGCGGTCAGACTGCATGAAGGATCAAGAAAAGTCAAACTACATTTGGAAGTTGAGACAGGACCATACTACACATGAGAGGGTTAGACTTATTTGGGGTCAGAGAGGGGTACAAAGCCAATCTACAAATCATATAAGCTAAAAATCCGAGTCAATCTAATAAAGGATGGGCTAAAACAAAGCAAATTTTTTAAACGACAAGCATAAACAGAGCCAATCTACAAGAAAAAAAAAAAGGAAGAAGGTCAAAATAGATGTAATTGAACCAATATGAAAAAAAAATAAGGTTGAAACAACCATTCTGTGGAAAGAAGTTGGAATGGTGGAACACCGCATTGCAAGATAATTTTCTGAAACTGCAAACTGAAGGTGACAAAACTTACAAATTGGAGATCATTGCTCTCTAGTAATTAAGTTTCATGAATTCGTTATGACAGATGGAAGGAATTATTCTCAAGATGGACACGATAACTCTATTACCATATCTAAATAATGAGAAATTGAATTGGTGTATATTCCATGCGATATAAATGATAAAATACTAATCCTTGTTTATAATTGTACTAGACTCACACTCCTGATTATATAAGGAAATAAATCATAAGACAAGGAAATCAAGAAGAAATTAATCCTGAGTTAATAAGGAAAATAGAAATATGACAATCAAACCAAATAATAATCTTAATAAGGAAATATGCTAACAATAATCAACAAGGTAACACAATCGGACCTCTCAAAATAAGCTGGTGTGGCAAGCATATCACCCTTAAAAAAATCTCAATATGCATGCTGCATAAAATCAGAATGTAGCATGTGAACTAACTCCTCAAGCCAGATACCTTTTGCACTAAACTAATTCAAAAGCATAAAGACAATATGCTTATGTCAACATAGACTTTGCTCATCAAATAACAGACAGCCTTGCATAAAAGGATGCTATATTACATCATACCAGCATAGCACCAACTCCATCTGCTACTTTGCAACCAGACATCAAAAAAGGTGCTTTTTGATCCTTGTGAATCTGCAGAAAATTAATTGGTTAAAAATAATAACGATTAAAAACCAATAATTAGGTCAATGGAAGGTATGAACAACATACAATCTTGCTTTCACCAGTCATACTGGATTCATCAATGGCAAGAGAATGACCAGTGATTACAACTCCATCGGCGGGAACCTGATGAAATCCATATAGTTACATAGGAAACTATTCAGGGTATGTTTGGTTAAACACTGAAATCAATTTTTCAACGATTCAAAATCAATTCTATCCACACTTTAAAAAATAAAAAATAAAAAAAGACCTTAACTTTAGAGAGAAACAAAACGAAATAGTTTGCAAAATCACCTGATCTCCTATTTTAAGGGGCACTAGATCACCAACAACAATATCAAATATCGATATTTGTATTGTTCTGCCACCTCTAATGACCTGTAAGTACATGTTCAGTTTAACTTTCACAAAAATTAATGTTTTATAGTATAATGTTACATACTTCTAATTTTATATTTTGTTTTTCTGCATTCAAGTTCTGAAACTGCAGAGATTGCCGATAGTCACTGACAGCTGGCAGAAATGAAAACAAAATTGAAAACATATAAGTTATCTTTTTGATCTGTAAACGAAACTAAGCAAACAAACAAGAATAAAAAATGAAAAGACTAAGTTCTAAGATATCTGAGTGAATTAGGAACCTTCCAGACCTCTGAATTCAGGAATTATAATAACCTTTATTAAATCATACTAATTATTTAATAAAAAATATTAAATAAATTTAAATTCTCTAAATATTAAATACTTTCACATTAGTAGTGTTCATTTTAATTCGTTAATCAATAACATTCCTTCTTTAACAAATTTCATAAACTAAAACTTGTACTAGGTCGTTAATTAATACATAGACAGATTACGTAATGCCAAAAAGGAACACAAATAATTCAAGAAAAAATAAATTAATTTAAAAAGTCACCAGTGCATTACTTAGGAGAAATTATTTTATAGACATATTATGACATAACAATCTAAACAATCATTTATAGAATAATCTACCAATTATTTATTCACTTAATTCACGTAAATTATTTTTGAGGGCTGCATATAACTTGATAGTGGATCAGTCGATAAGAATGTATTTATAACAACTTTTAAAAATCACATGTTACAGGGAGAGATGTGTTTTTTTTTCTACAGGAAGGGTGTGGATTTTAATCAATCATAGAAATACAAAGAGAGATGTTATTTATCCCCTTTCCTAACACGTAACTTTTTACTTTTTTATATTTCCAAAATATCCCTGTTCCTTCTTACGATTACCAAACCCCCCTACCCCACCATTGGCAGCCATCACTTTTCTCTTTCTTTTCTTCTCTCAGAAGTCATCTCCAATCATCTTCATCTTTCATTTTTTTTTTCTACACTTCACAGAACAAAAACTAGTTCCTGTGATGTGTTTAACAGTGTTGAATCACATTAAAAATGTGTCACACAAATTAGTTTTTGGAAAGGATTTTTGAAAAAACAAAACAAAAAAAACAGACAAGCAATGTGACGACGAAAAATGGTGCAAATAGTAGGTTCGCTCACATCCGACAGACAATAAGAAGTATTTTGCTTGCCGAGATTAAATACATGTTATTCAATCAATATCTGTTCATTACCTGTAACTATAATTACAAGAAAAACAGCGAAAGCAATGCTTCCTCCGTCGTACCACCCTTCTTCGAGGCCCTAGCGATAACAAATAAAGGAAATGGGAGAAACATTACAGTGCACCGAGCTCAGTGGAGAAAAATAATTCTGGAAATAACTATTAAAATGTTTTTCTTTTTAATTATATAAATATATTTTATAATAAGATACCAATTTTAAAATGTAATTTTCTTTTTACAACTTTACTATTACTTATAACATTTTGATAATTTGTTTTTTTTTTACATAACCACTTTTCTTTTATAAAAACTGTTGTTATTTTTATTTAGCTAATTGTCTTTTTAACGATTAAAATAAAGTTGGACACAGCACCGTACCAATTTTGTTTTCATTACTTACAATTAAAATGTATTTCTTTTGTAATTATAAATATAATTACATGCTTAGACAATTTTTTTAAAACTAATTTTAAAAAAAAATGATTATTTTATAAACTAAATTATTAAACCTGACAGAACTTCTTCAAATTTATTAAATTGATTAAACCTGACGAAACTTGGTCTGATTTATTAATTTTGTTTCTGCTAAATTAATATCTACTATCAAGAGATGCGAAAGCCTCTTACAGCATAAACTTTTTTTTTTTTTAAAAAGGTGTTTGTTGCATAATTTATCGTATAACTGAGCAGAATTGAAATCAGATCTCTCTGTTAATAGATATCTCTTTCCTTGTCCCTCCACTTAACAAGTAACGGGTGGTTAAAAAGTAATACTGTCCTTAAATTTATTTCTCACTTGCGACTTTTTAATTGGGGTGATTTAATCCAATTAAGTTTCATATTTTTCCTATTAACAGTGTGCTCAAATTACTGTTATAATTTATGAGAACTACAAAATTAAAGTGTTAATCGCACCTCTGTTTTTATGCCAAGTATCAATGACACCACCGCTGCTATAATCAATATTATAAGAGTAAGATCTTGCCAAGATTCCCATAGAAACCTCTGTAAAACGAGCAGGAAGAATTAATCGCAGGACAGCAACTAATTCATCAACTGTAATCAGGAATAAAAATGGATGATAAAGAATTTACCCAGAAACTTCTCCCCTTTTTCCGAGGATATGTATTAGTTCCAAATGCATTTTTCCTCTTTACAAGATCTACATCATCTCCGCTAATCCCTTTATCGGGAATTGACTTGAGTAAATTTGATAAGCCTTTAACCTGAATAAGAAACAGCCAGAGAGTATGTTAGAAAAGCAGATGGCTTCTTCAAAATGCTTAAGGTGGCTGACTTTACAAACAAAGAAACATTGAAGAAGACTTGCCCCTCCAAATTGTTGTAAAGCAGAAATATTCTGATTCTTAGTCATTGAAACAAGTTGTTCGAGCTCAACTGTGTACTCGCCAACTGGAGTTGGGGCTTCCAGTGCTGCTGTACTTGTCACTATATATAAAATCCAAGATATTAATTAATTAGTAAGTAACTCTTGATTGTATGGAAGAAGGTAGAGGCAGTGTGAGAAATGAAATTAAAATTGTGGATTATGCAGAGAATATGGTCATACATACGTACCTAGTTCCCGTTCACCAGCCAATCTGAAAAGCAAAGCTGCCTAATACAATAATGGAATTGATTAGAAAAGGCAAAGAGGGAGTGAATTGACAATGGGAGTGACCGTAGTTGATGAACATTTTCACTTACTCTAATGACTTGTGCATGGGATCTAATCATGCTTTTCTTATGGTCTTTCTCCTCTTCCTTTTTCAAGTCAAGAGTGTATCTAAAACGCCTGGACGCATTGAGCACCAAGGATGCTTGCTGAAATGAACGAATGAATGAAAGAATGGAGAAATGTAAATTAAGAATGATGATGGAATATTAGGTATAAGATATGAGGAGACAAATGCGTACTCTCCAACGCTTGAGGGTCTCGGGCTGTGCATTCTTGGTATGCGTAATATCGAAAGGATCGTCGGGATCCACGACCAAGTCGTCGTCGTCGTTGTTGATGGCGACAGGGTCACCAGATTCAGTGTGGCTGCCGGTAATGGTGACGGTGAGAAGGCCATTGGAGGAGGAGGTGGAGCCACGCGTGGTCGAGCTCATGTTAGTCATCTCTCTATATATTATATATGCCTACCTTTCACAAATCACATATCAATTCGATTCGATTCGATTCGATTCAATTCAATTCCCTCTGGAACGATGAACTCAGGCTTGCTAGGCGTGGAGCTGTTCTTCCTTCCCCCTTCTCTGACTCCAACAATCCAATCCAATGTCTCTCTCTCTCTCCCTCGCTCTCCTGTTCCCCAATTCCTATTGTTGGCCAATGCTATTGCTATTGCTATCGCTGCATCATCTCCATCAATTCTCATTCATACATTACCTCTCCATTTTCTTTTTCATCTAAATATAGAATCAACACAAACAATCTCTATATTGCGCTCTCCATGCATGCATCATCTCACTCGCAAAAACCATTGATTGCAAGTTGCAACTGCATTCTTTCATGACTATATATATATATATATATATATATATATATATATATATATATATATATATATATAAATCGTGGAACGAGAGAGAATCGTATTACTCACTGAACAGTAGTTATAAATTGTATCCATTTGAACGTGTGTCTGTATATTGGACAAAAATTGACACCCATCACTACTTTCATGCGCCCTTTTCGTTCTACCAAAACAAAATTAAATAATTATAAAGTTTTATTTAAAAACAATACTCTTTAATTTGCTTTTTTCCGTATAAAATAAATACCATTTTCATACTAATCCCCGTCCAATTTTACAACCACTCTCACGCATTTATATATAATATATTTTGAACTTTATTATATATAAATAGATTTTAGAAAGATTGGTAATCTTTATTAGCTTAATCATTGTTGATTTATGTTTTTACATCTTGACTATGATGAAATATATATATATATATATATATATATATATATATATATATATATAAAATTTAAAGTTAGTTAGTTAGATTTTTTAAAAATATAAATCAAACGAAGCTGAAATACAATATTCAATCCGTTGACCCATTATATTTGTAATCTATTAATTCATTATTTCGACTGGTCGCTAATACACTTACACGACATTTAATTGACCTTTGTGTTTCAATGTTGATCCTTAACCAATAAGGAAACAAAAGGAAAATAAATAGAATCTAAAGAAAAGGGTTTGTTGTTATAATAAAGTAAATAAATGGGGTACAGAGAATTTTAGTTTTTGCTTTCGTTAATTGACTTAGCATGCGTGTTATGTTTGTATACAAGTTAAAAAAGGATTTTTATTTTTATTTTTTTACAAATTTTAGTACATAATTTAAATTTTAATGAACAAAATGTGAGATTGTTGCTTTAAATACATTTTATAGTTAGTTAATTCAATTCATAAATATTGTGTTTGTTTGGATTTTAACTAAGAGGATTAAAAAATAATTATAAACAATACCAATTACAAGTTAGATATAGTCATGAAGTTAAAGTAAAATGTTTTTATTTATTTATTTTCAATCTTTAATAAATATCAGTTAATTGGGTGTTCTACATCTCCTCCTTCTTAAATCAATTTGGAATTAAAAAATGAAATAAAAAATCTATTTGTCTGTCTCTTTCCTAATAAATTAGTAGTATCATAACAAAAATAGTAAAATGTATAAAATATACAAAATAATCTATACTTATATTTGATTAAATATTAAATAATTTGAAATCCTTCTTTCATTTTTTTTTCTTATCATAAGAATCTAAAGTGAACAATTTATGTATGTGTTTAAAGAAGGTATATTATTTCATTAATTATATTTTACATATTTTATTTTGGAAACTTTGTTAATGATGATTATTCCTTTAAAATATTAGTTAAGAATTAACTTTTGATATATTTTAATAACAAAATGAAAATATTTTTTCCATTTTATTAAAATAAAAATTTGTCATAGTATATTTAGATTTTTTTTATTTCTTTAATTAACATACTTGAAATATACCCAAATAAAAAAATAACTGTTTCCTTATGTGGCAACTCTCATGTAAAATAGTTCTGCATTGGCTCATCAGACAGACCTAACAACAAACGGAAGTGATGTCTTTTAAAAAAAAAAAAAACAAGAAAAAAAATTATATGCCTTTGAAGATACTACGAAACTATAATATAGTTATTTCTTAAATATTAATAAATTAATAAAAAAATGATATAAACCTTACGTTTTAATTTTTGTGCTTAAAAATAATTTATACCAATTTTTACAAAAAATCATTTCAATATTTGTTTAGTTCCTACATATATATTTTTTAATTCATTTTAGTTTCTACCGATTAAAATCATGTAGACCAAAAATAATATACATAAAAAGTAAAAAAAAAAATTAACGTTTAAGCATAGAAATTAAAAAGATAGAGGTTTTTAATTAAAAGGTTTGAATGAATAATTCTAAAAAAAATACAAATGCCACAATGCCAAACATGAAAGAAATACTGCCTTTTTTTGCTATAAAATAACTGTAGTTTTAATTTTTAAAATAAATTTTAATTTAATTGATATTCTCAATGTTTAATAAAATGTAAGTTTGTTGTCCTAACATTTTTAAATAAATTACATAAATGTAAATGTATTTGTAGTATAAAAAAATTAATGTATTTATGAAAAGAATAAAGTTTTTTGAATAAAATTGTAATTGTTGTAAAAGAAAAAAACGTTGATATGCAAGTTGACAAAGAAATTAAACGCGGAAGTAGACGTGGTGTTTAAGAGTGTCGTCAACCCGAATTTTTGACCCGATTCAAATCAAGTAGTCCGGCCCATAGTGGGTTAAAAAATTGGACCCGTTAAAGATTTTATAAATGGGTCGTGGGAGTGGGCCAGGAGTCAGAGTGCACTTTAACGGTTATGATGGTGCCTTCCAAATTCCTGCTAAAAGCGAGTTACAGATAGAAAATTTGAAGGAAATTGATAATGTAAATATTTTTTAATAAAAAAAAGAAATAATAAATTTATTTTGCTTAAGTATTAAAATGTATTAATTTGAATTGGCACAATGATTTAGACTAGAGAGCGAAAGATTGGAGTTTGAAATCCTTACGTAAAGCATGGATATGGTGAATGGTTTTAGATAGATGATGTGGTTGAAGAGTGTTTTTCGTATGGTTTAAGCGAAAATTACATTAATTAAACTTAAATATCATTTAAAAGCCTCTATTCTATGTTAATGTATGCCATCCATCATTACCGTATTTTCCAAATTTAATTATGAACTCCATCAAATGGCCAAATTTTGTGTTAGTAAAATATAATTTTCAAATAAAATCAGTTATTTTAAAAATTGCGTTATAATTTAAAAGTGGTCCCCATGTATAATTTAAAATGTAAAAACTGCTCTGAAGGTTTTCACAGTAAAATGTGGAGAATAAGACATGTTAGCGAAAAAGTGCGGAGAAGAGGACAAATAGTGCGATAGATTAAAAAAGAAATATTTGTTAAAAAAAAATGAAGAAATTGAGATAAAATAAAATAAAAAGTGTTTGGTTTGCGAGAGTGCATTGTTATGTCATGTTAGTTTGAGAGAGCGGAGGAGACAACCCAGGTAGTAGTGGTTGAAGAGTGAGAGAGGGTTTTATTTTGCTTTGGAGTAATTTTTTTATTAATAATATAATTTTAAAGGAGGAAGAAGGGTAGCAGTGAGAGAGTGGAGTAGCAGAAGAGAAGAGAAGAGAAGAGAAGAGAAGATGGGATCTGTATATGAATGAGAGAGTGTGAGGTGAGTGTGAATCATGGTCCCATCCGTGGTTCTCCGGTTGCTGTTGATTGTTGAGTTGAGTTGAGGTACGTCTTCATTTTCATTTTCATCTTCATCTTCTTCACCTTCCTTCGTACTTTTGCAGATATGAGATAGATAGATAGATAGATAGATAGATCCATCCATATTCTCCACTGCATTGCATTGCATGGATGGGAACGTCACTGTTTTTCTCTGCTTTCGATTGCATTTGCTTATTTCTATCTTATCACCATCACCATCACCATCAGTACAACACAACAACTATCTCAATTCATCCAAATTTCATCGTCATTGGATCTCGTCTCACTACACAAATCCTAATCCCAATCCCATTCCTACTCCTCAATCAAATTAAATTACTGTTCAGATCTTCAATTTTCCGTCATCACATCCTCACCTAACTCACTAGCCAACTTACCGTATGCTTCGTAGATAAGATTTAGCTACCTCCTACCCCCACTCCTCCCTGAAATGCATTCTATCTACTGCAACCAACATTTTTTTTACTGGGTTTGATTAGAGTATTTGTCCTTGATTATTTCCTACAAAAATGCCCAATATGTATTTTTCTCTTTCTTTCTTCAAATGATGCGCTATTTCTCACTTTTTTTCTTGGCCTAAGGTGTCTATAACTTTACTTCTTAAGCACTTCAATCAATACGCGGGATACCATGCTTTCTATGCTTGCTCTCTAGATCAGTGTGTACATATCTTCCCTTCAAATCTGGACGTGCGACTAAAATTCTGCTTTAATTCTCTTGTAAACTTCACTTTGTTGCAGTATTACTTTGGTTACTGCTACAGTACACTGCTATTGTTTCACATTGGTTGCCCCCTGCGGCTGCTTTAAAGAAGTCTGATGGGTTCGAGATTCCCATCTCATCAGCTCAGCAACGGCTTGTATGTATCAGGTCGGCCTGAACAGCCGAAAGAAAGAACTCCAACAATGAGCTCAGTTGCCATGCCTTACACTGGTGGAGACATCAAGAAATCAGGAGAATTAGGCAAAATGTTTGATATCCCCATGGATGGTTCTAAATCTAGAAAATCTGGTCAGTTAAATAGTGCTCCTTCACGGACTGGATCGTTTGCGGGTGCTGCTTCACATTCTGGACCTATCTTGACAAATACTGCAGCTCGTTCTATTTATACCACATCAGGTAACATATCTTCTGGAGGCATGTCTTCTTCTGTCTCCATGAAAAAGACCAACTCTGGTCCACTGAATAAACACGGGGAGCCTGTGAAAAAGTCATCTGGACCTCAATCTGGCGGAGTTACACGCCAAAACTCTGGTCCGATTCCACCTGTTCTTCCTACGACTGGTCTTATTACATCTGGTCCTCTAAATTCATCTGGGGCTCCAAGGAAAGTATCTGGTCCATTAGAGTTTACAGGATCAATGAAATCACATAGCTCTGTAACTCACAATCCAGCCACGACCACTCTAAGCGTAGATGATGAATATTCCTTCAGGAGGAACTTCCCAAAGCCAATATTGTGGTCTGTGATTCTGATTTTCATTATGGGGTTCATTGCTGGTGCATTTATTCTTGGAGCTGTTCACAATGCCATTCTCCTAGTTGTTGTAATTGTTCTTTTTGGTGCTGTGGCTGCATTATTCACGTGGAATAGTTGCTGTGGGAGGACAGCCATTGTTGGTTTCATTTCTCGTTATCCCGATGCTGAGCTTAGAACTGCCAAGAATGGGCAATTTGTGAAGGTTTCTGGGGTATGTATATTAATATTGGCACATACATGTATACACTATTGATTAATTAAGCACAGCCATACAAAAAATGATTTGCATGCACAACTAACCACCCTTGTCTTTGTAGATAAGGTACTGATTATCATGTAACGGATATCAGTGACTTGGATTGAATGGTTGCTGGGTGTCTCATATCTGTAATTGTACTGTTCTGGCTGGTGTTTATGTTGTTGTTATTGTTGTGTGTGTGCGCTCATATATATGAGAGGAATGCCAATGGTCTGTTATTCATTTTGAAGGTGGTTACCTGTGGTAATGTTCCATTAGAGTCCTCCTTTCAAAAAGTTCCTAGATGTGTCTATACTTCTACTAGCTTGTTTGAATATCGAGGGTGGGATTCAAAAGCAGCCAACCCAAAGCATCGCTGTTTTACATGGGGACTCAGAACAGCTGAGGTAATTTCAACAATATGTTAAATCTTCTCTTTTCAGTTTTCCATTTTATTGAAGATTAACTTTGAAGACTCTTGATGTACCTTGACTATCATGGAGATATTAGAGTTTCTTTATCCTGCACCATTTTTGCTTGTGCTGTGCGAGCAAAATTTCGTTTTTTCCCTTCCTATAGTCTAATATATTCTGTGCACATAATTTTGTAATCTCTCCTTTTATTTGTATCCTGCAATATATCTATATTTGCTTTAATTACATTGTAATGAAACTACTCCTAGAAATGACTTATATAGAGTGCTATGTTAAGTTATTGGGAGCTTATTGTTCCATGAGTCTTCAAGCTATTGAAAGGGGAAAATGTTATTATTATTAACTTTCCGAGTAAGCAATTTGTCCCCTTGCTTTTGATCGGTTAATTTGTTGTGGGGACTTTGGGGTCGTGCTTTGAAGCCTTTATCTTCTATTCATTATGTAAGTATTCTCTTACTGTTACTAAAAATAACTTATGCCTGATGTGATATGAATAGTGTGTGTGTGTGCGCGCGTTGTGAAGTTTTAGATATAAATGTGCTCAATTATTTACCTTGACATTTATATAATGTAGAGGCATGTGGTGGACTTCTACATTTCTGATTTCCAATCTGGACTTAGAGCATTGGTTAAAACAGGCTATGGGGCAAGAGTGACTCCTTATGTCGACGATTCTATTGTAATTGATGTTAGCGCTGACAATAAAGACATGTCCCCAGAGTTCCTTCGATGGTTGCGAGAAAGAAATCTTTCAAGTGATGATCGAATGATGCAATTAAAAGAAGGGTAAATTCTTCTCCTTGCGTCGGGTTTAAGTCTCCATCCAGGTTGTGTTGGTGTAAAGGGAAGCTGTTAAGGCTAAATCCTTTCCAATAGTTGTTGAGGTGGGGCAAAAGTAGACATTGTTGATAGCGGTAATTTTTATCTCTTCTTTTTGGGGAGGGGGTTGGTGTTAAACTTGTTGCTGTGTCAGGTATCTGGTGTATTGGTAATATGTACCAAATGTAGCCCTGTACATAATTCATAATTCATTTTATGCATCATGGTGCTAATGGAAACAACATTAGGCTCTTTAGTGCATCCATAGAATAAAGTTGGGATGAACCTCGGTTGATAGGATATTCTTATGAGACTTCCATTGATCCTTTTGTAGGTACATCAAAGAAGGTAGCACAGTTAGCGTAATGGGGGTTGTTCAAAGAAATGACAATGTACTTATGATAGTCCCTCCTCCCGAGCCTTTGACTACCGGATGCCAATGGGCTAAATGTATATTTCCAGCTAGCCTTGAGGGTATTATTTTGAGATGTGAGGATACATCAAAGATTGATGTCATTCCAGTGTAGTTGCGCACCCCAGAAACCTCTTAGATATTCTTTAAACAAGTATTTTCTTACCACATCTAAAAAATATGGTGATACAATGTTTGTATTTTTGAGTCTTGTTGGCAAGCGTGACGAGTCTACAACTGACATCAGTGATTTTCTTTTTCCTACTCTCAACTCCTACTTTGTTGTATAGCTAATGAAAATTCTTATTCCTTTATTATTCTTAAGGAGTTTATTACTGAATGTAAATTCCATAATGCTTTTATGTTTATTAAAAAGTTTCATGATATATTATTTATTCTAGATTATTAGTTCAATATCTATTTTTGAATGTATTATGAAATAAATATTTTTAAAATATGATATTTTGACTACGAAATATATTAAGGAATAACAACACTTATATGTAAGATAGTACGGAGATTTTTTTTCATCACATTTAAAATACTACAACAAATTTGATAATGCAAAATAAATAATTAAATAACATCCATATTTATAATATTAGTTTAGAAATGATAAAAATATTGAAAGAAGAATATGTAAAATGTCTTTTATATTGGTGCAAGTGGACCTAATGTAGTTAGCATATATTACACCTCTTAAGAAAAATAGGTGAATCCTGGGTCTGTCACATATTGCTCACTAGTTGTAGGATATCAAACAAGTAAATTCTGGATAATAATATATTTAATTAAAAATATTAAAATTTGTGTTATTCAAAATGTGTATTATTATGTAAAGTTAGAATTGAGTTAAACTAAATAATTAAATACGGTTTATATATATATATATATATATATATATATATATATATATATATATATATATATATATATATTATAGTAGATATAAGATCATGATGTTTTTATTTTTATACTGAACATTAGTGTGTATTTTGATCATCTGGTAGTCTTTATACTTTAACTGGGGCTATATTATGATATATAATGTAAATCTCATATTATTTAAAGTTAAAGATTAATAGTAATTTATAAATATCATCTTTGAATAACCTAATAATAAAATCAAGATATTCTAAAGGAAATAATACTTCGAATGATAAAATATAATAATCTTATCGTATCACATTATGTCAGGACCGAATATTTATATAGATGTAAAATAGGAGTTTGTTTGAATTTGCATTCTTTATAAATGCACTCATATTTTATATTTTTATGTAAAATTATTTAAATAATTTTTCTCTCTTTTAAAATTATGAATTCTATCTAACTAGTTTGAAAATTGTGTTCTATGTCATTTTCTTTTGAAACTATTTAATACAGAGTAGTGGTTTGTTTTTCATTGAAAAATAACTTGTGATAAAGAATAGGTAGAAGATGATTTATATGACTTATGCATTTTGTAATACATTCTACGTATATTTATCATTTCATAGAAAAATAAACAAAAATTATCCCATTCAAACAATTATTAATTATATAAATTAAATTAAAATTGATCTAATAGAGTTAGATTATTCAATAATCTATTCCATTCGGATTAATATTAATAATAAAAATATAATTATAATTTAATTATTATATCAATTAAATAAATATTTTAAATATTAAATTATTCAAATTGAAAATAATATAATTTATTATTTTTAATCTTTAAGAAAAAATATTTTAAAATTAATAAATTTTAATAAATAATTTTAAAATTTATGACTCAATTAACTCAATCTAATTAAAACAAAGTTTAGTTAGATTGATCTAAAAAATAATAATAATACAAAAACCCAACTTTATCCATTTTTTTTATTGAGTGATAATGAATTTGACAAGAACAAAACCAGTAGACCCTTACCCTTTAATGAATACTTTACTTCCAATCCATCAGAAAAAGCTCGATGCAATACATACATGTTCCTCAATTTATTTAAACTTCCTGATTTTGTGCTGCTCGTAACATTCCAGCAGCAAGTTTAAACAAAGTTTCTTCATAAATATTTTTGAAGAAAAAAGTTAAAAAATAAAAGTAAAATAAAATAAATTTCTCTGTAAATTAAAATTAGTCTATTTGTAAATTAAAAATCAAATTTAAATTATATGTGTTTTACAAAATTAATTTATACATAAATTAATCTTATTTTATACAAAAAGCATTTCATTTTTTTTGGTTTTTTTAATGTTTGACAATTATCAACAGGCCGAAAAAGACGAGAAAAAAGCCTTACATAACAGCAACCACTAAGTTTATTAAATGACTTTTGATGCGAATTACAAATAACTTACTTTTATAAAAAGAAAATGAATTCATTTCACTAGGACTGTAACAATTTTCATATGAATTAAGGAGAAATTGATTTTCTCTTCTATTTCTTTTCAGTCTTTTTTCTTTCCAAAATTCGTTTCTCGCACTCATCCATTTCGATTTTGGAGTAGGTCCGTTCAGACTTCAGATAACTGATATAGGAACATATTTCGAATATGAAATGTTTTCCATCGTGGATTTTATCCGTCAGTTTCAGTAGGAAAATGTATTGACTTTGACCATATTGTTTCTCACAATAACAGTTTCTATGGCATAACGCAATGTGATAGCCAAACGTATCAGGACCAATATTAGGTTTAAAAACCTGGAGAGGCAAAATCTACATTCTATTATGATATTTTGTATAAAATTGGACAAGAAAATATTGCAAAATAAGGTGAACTGTGGGTTACATCATGGACTTAAGTTACAAGTACAAACATCTCCATGCAGCAGCTACAGACTTATAGGATCTGCACTTTTTTTTCCTTTACACTCCACAAAACAATATCGATTCACAATTTTTCTAGTTGAATTATAGTATATTTCTTTCATAATGAGTTTGCTGTAAAAGCATTAATTAAAAATAAAGAATTAAAATAGAGTACACAGGGTATTGGAGACAAACGACACCCATGTGGCTGCGCAGTGCCCAAACAGCCATATCAGTGGGTCATCACTCTGAACAGACCAATGTGATTTACAAAAAGGAACCGTGGAGCCAAGCCAAGGCGCAATAGCAGCAAATTCAACGTGACTCTGCAGAATATGCATCCTGCAGTTAGTAATGATGAAATGAAAATAATTTCAGAGAATAATGCACAATGCGAACAAAGAATTAAGAATATTGGAATTCGAAATAATGGGGATGTATGTATAATAATGCACAAGAATGTTTGCGGATGCTGTATACATTGGCCTTTTAAATTATGAAACAAAAATCTTGCAACATTTACCTTCTATAAATTGCAACAAAGAGGTATATGCAAGGATAAGAGGGGTAGGATGAAACGGCAGTTTCAAATCTAACATCTAAAAAATGAAGAACGGCAATTTTAAAGAGCACAAAGGGATATGCATATACCAACTAGTAAAGGCCCAACATCCTTAGCTCTGTCACATGACTAGGATCGAGTTCAGGCACATTCTTTACATGTTCTCGATCTTCTACCACATATTCCTGAAATTGAAGAGGTAAAGAACAAAGTGAAGTGTTAAATCCCTAAAAAATTTCATAAAAAGATAAATTGATTTTCCTTATATCATAAAAATAAATTGTAATCTGTAAATCATACAGGAACACAAATTTAAATTATGCATTTCCCAGAAGACTTGTTTAGTTGCAATCATATTACTAGCTTTACATAACACGCTTTGGTTTTCTGGAAGTAGACCTTAGTCAATTCTTGTTTGGCAAGAACATGGTAGTGGCGTTCATTGATTCTTTGGCCACATATTATCGCTATGAAGAAGCCATAGAGCAATCCCACCAAAACAATGGCCAGAACTGCAAAATAGAGAAATATAATGAGTTTGCCATTGCATACAACAGTGTTAGTAGGTTAAGAGAGTTACCAGCGTTCATATACACATTATATTTACCAACTTATTGACAAACTATAACATCTTAGCACGAAATATTCACGAGTGAAAGAAAAATGTACAAACATTGCCCATGAAATTTCTTGCAGGTAAGGAAAGAGTATATACCAGCCATCGTATAAAATCCATATGGATGTTCTTCATAACCAAACATTTCCCTCAGTTCATCTCCATAAAATTTGTACACAAGCACTCCCAAGAAAGCAACAACCTGTTTAAATTAGGAAAGGTAAAGTAACAGACAATATTTCAAGTGTAATTTAAAATACGTAAAAACAATATCCCATCATATAATCTCTTTCTATGGGCATGGATCTTCAAAGTGTATCAAATCAAACCCAACCATGGAACTCGAGAGCAAAATCCTGCTCCATATTACTTCCTTTTATACTTTCAGTACATGTGGATTTGGGTTGGGTTAGGTGGGTGTTTAATATTAGAATCAACAACACATGGCTTCTAATATGACATTCAGGTTTCAATTTCCGCAAAGGCTATCAGAAATAGGAATAATTGATGATGTTACTGAGATTATTCGGTACTCTAGTCCCTCATGTATTATAATCCTGTTATGCCTTCGGAAATCAACTGCAGGTTCCTTCGGTTACAAACATCAACAATGTGAAATGTGCAATGTACAGCTATAGCATGGATCCCTGTTGTTAAATGGTGGCACCATGACAAAATGGCAACCAACATAGAAAATTTAAGAAGGTAGGACGGCTACGATGGCACCATAGGAAACAATGGTGTGTTTATATGGCAGAATTTCGGCCTTCAGTTATCCACCATTAATAACACTATTAGATAATGACTAAGGAATTTAATTTGCCATTAGATCAAATTATGGAGCAAGGCAGAGCAGAGGTTCTTGTTTTAAGCGCCCCTGCATACCTGATGGCTACACATAAAACTAAAATAGATATGGCACTGGCATAATTAAATTTCAGTCTCCCATGTATCACGATTGTGTGATTGTGGGACCTCTAGATTTCAATTGCACGTCCTTCAAGTTTTTCTCATTGACAATAAGTCTCTTCATCTTGATTTCATCCAATATTTAACGAAATTAGCTGAAGTGGTAAATTGGACATGACATTACAATGAATAAATACAATATACCTGTAGGAAAAACACATTGGAACTCCATGACCAAAATGGCACATTGAGTATATTCATTTAATTGTCATGTTGACAATCCGTGAGGGTAAATTATTATTTTTATAATAACAATGAATTAAAAATGAAACGCCTTTCCACTCTGGGCAATTTGATGACTACAATACAAGGTTTTGAATAGCATGCTATAATGCCATTATAGCAATGGAGCAGAATGAAGCTGCCTCTCTCTGGTCTCTCTCCTTGCTTCTAAGGTAGGACCATCCGGTTTGATTCACTTTCCAGACTAGGGACCCTTTCTTTGAGCTGTCACTCATACATTTCTGACTTTGATCTTTAAGCGAAATCAAACTCTTTTCATCCATGAGCCCATACTATCTTCCGTCACTCAGCTCGATCAACATAGGGGAGGGGGTCTTAGCGAGTAAACACTACAAGGGTCGTAGTAAACCAAATAGCAATGGTATAGCAGCACTAAGTGTAGATTCCAAAAATGACTTCAGAATAGAGACACAAGCGTTTTTTGAGGATTTATTATTGGAATTGGGATTTCAGTTTCCAAAAATGAAATCTTCAACAACTGTTATAGTTGTGAAGATGATAAATAAGACGTGGATTTAGAAGATGATGATAAGTGATTCCTATCTAGGAAATTTGTATTTGACTCATGTTGATATTTACTTGTATGTTTGGTTTAAGACACCTATGACATTTTATTGTTAATTATGAATGTCATTAAATTTCAGTATTTTTTTATCATGTTATTTATATGTATGTAGTATGCTGTATACATTATAGAAACTACATAAAAAAAAAAATTCAAAATAGCAGCATCCCTCTGCAATGTTTTACTGGTTGACTGCTACGCACTACTATTCAAGATTTAAAACATTGATTAAATATCAGACCAAATCAAGATTAAGGGACATGATTGTAAATGAGAAGAAACTTGAAGGACTCTTGACACAATTGAAACCTAAAAGCCTAAAATTGCATAATTGAAATACTTGGGGGACTAAAAATGCAATTAATCCAAAAAAATTTACATGCAATTTTTTAAAGGAAAATAATTCTTGAACATATTCCCTTCAATCATGTTCTTTCTCTTTGGCTATCCCAACCAAAATTTAATTACATTCAACTAAACTAAAATGCTCGCAATGCTAGGTCTATCAATTATGTTTCCAGAAGAAATTAGACGCACTAAAACATTCAACAACGTAGGGTGTTTCCTTCCTTACAGAACTACTACTAATCAAGGAAACATATTGAAGTGGGTTTTCATAAAATGATTTGTTCCATCAGAGAGGAAAACTGCGAACTAAGACTTCTTCCTAGCATCATTGCAACTAGTTTCAGATCAGAAATGAAACAAATGATGATTACAATTAGTATGGAATCAGCAAGAGTTACTTTTGGAATATAAAAATGAGCATACCAGTTGAACAATTATGAAAATGAATGCATGATCCCTAGCAACAAGGAACTGAAATTTTAATCTCAACCACCAGCGATCTGGTGGGACATTTGCGCGAAGTATGAAGACAGCTCTGCACTCTGTACAGTGAGAAAAGGCGAAGCCCTCCTAGTACAACAGAAATGAAAAGTCAGCAAGTGTTGCAAAATCATAAGTATACCCGGATACATTCACAGGATAATGAAAGGAACATAGAATAGACCGACAACAGATTTACATAGCTAATAGATAGTTTTACTGCATTTGAATCAGATAATAGTATTATTTTGATCAATAGGACACACCAAGAACGAAAAATAACTTACCTTGGTGGATCTCCAATTATCGAGACATGATCTGTGAACGTACTTTTGCGTACCTTTGCAATGGCATGGGGCAATTAAATCTTCTCCTGAAAAATCATTTGGAAGATAAGTAAGTTGCAATTTGGTTGTAATAGTAAGCCTGGGAATATCTCAAGTTATGAAATCATCAAGAAGATTTAGGGAAAGGATTTATATATATATATATATATATATATATATATATATATATATATATATATATATACACAGAGAGAGAGAGAGAGAAGAGAGAGACCTCCAATATCGAGGCATATTCGGCATTGTGGCTGATCTGCACTTACGAGATGACAAGTCTCATCAACCCGAACATTTTGTAAATCATGGTCGACATCATGGTTGGAAGCAATAGGAATAATTTCACAGGAAAAGGAGGATTCTCCAGGTGGTTGCAAATGAAGATGGTGGTGATTCAAGATGGGTTCGCTTTCTGAACATACTTCCTTGTCGCCATTCGACGCTAATTGCATTTCGGGAAACGTATAATCAGGATTAAACAATGAGATTCATTGGCAGAAGTATAATTACAAGAGACCATTTCAACAGAAGAAAGAAACCTGCAAATTGACGAGAAAGAAAAGGAGAGGAAATAGTAACATATTAGAATTTTGCAATGTCGAAGATATTTAGGGTAAGTTCTTCTAAACCTAATTGGGTAACAGTTAAAAACATCTATATATCTCAAATGATGGCATATCTACAAAAGAGACAGAGAGTAGAATAATATTATTATTATGATTATATTGTAATAATAGGCAGCCATATCCATAACAACAAGATCTAATAAGTAGAAGATTGTGGATCATAATAATGCTTCAATTATTGCAGAAGCAAGAGGACAGAGCTGGAGCTGGACCTGGAGCTGACTTAATTGATTGATTGCAGAGAAACATAAAGACAAGACTTACCTTACCTTAATAGTAATAAACACCAAAGAGAGAGACCTGCAAGTGCAAGTGCAATCAAACCCCAATTTTGATCTCATTGATTAGATCAGAATCAGGATCAGATGAATCGAACTTCAAGTTTGAACTTTAAGGAACGCAGAACGAACGAACACCAATTCACCATTACAAAACAAACAAACCAACCAACCAACCAACCCCAATCCCTTCTCTTCTCCTCCCTTTCCTATTTTGCAGTTTGGACCGTGGCAGCCCAACTCACCCAATATAATAGGCCCAGGTCATACTAAAGATATAAAAAATAGATTGGATTACATTATTTTTCAAATTGATATTTTTATATTTTTTTCTTTCACACACCACTATAATTGGCTTTTTATTTATTTATTAATATTTATATATTTGACAAAAGATAATTATCAGTAGTACTTGTAGAATGATTATTATACTCATACAAGTTTGATATCGTGTTATCAGAAGGGGGAAATCACATCAATGTCACTATAATCATCGAGTGTAAGTAATGAATGAATTATAATAGGGCGATTAACTTTTGAAAAAAGAAAATAAGAAAGATTTAAATACAACAAATTGCAATGGAGAGAGAAAAGAGGGTTGGGGCGATTGCAATGGAGGGCGGAGGAGGAGCGGGCGGAGAAGGTGAAGAGCGGCTGAACCAGGCAGTGCAGCAGCAGCTGAATCTGCAGCAAGTGAAAACCCGCGCCATCAGCCTCTTCAAAGCCATCTCTCGTATTCTGGAAGATTTCGAGGCCTACGCCCGCACCAACACAACGCCCAAATGGCAAGACATCCTGGGTCAGTATTCGATGGTGAACCTGGAGCTTTTCAACATCGTCGACGACATGAAGAAGGTGTCGAAGGCCTTCGTTGTCCATCCCAAGAACGTGAATGCGGAGAATGCGACCATACTCCCTGTGATGCTTTCCTCCAAACTGCTCCCCGAAATGGAGGCGGAGGAGAGCTCCAAGAGAGAGCAACTTCTGGAGGGAATGCAAAACCAAAACCTCCCAATTACCACTCAGATTGAGAAGCTCAAGGCCAGACTCGACATGATCGCCGCAGCCTGTGAAGGCGCTGAAAAGGTCTTGGCCGACACTCGCAAAGCCTATTGCTTCGGTACTCGTCAGGGCCCCATTGCCCCCACTCTCGACAAGGGTCAGGCTGCCAAAATCCAAGAACAAGAAAATCTACTCCGCGCTGCTGTCAATGCTGGTGACGGATTACGTATTCCACCTGATCAGAGGCAGATCACTACCGCACCTCCCATTCATTTGGCAGATGCACTTCCAGGACTCAATGACCCTCCTGCGCATGATGCATCATCTGCCACTAACAGTTAAGGCTTGATATACTATTACTTATTATCATTCTTTTTCTCTCCTCCCACTAACTCCCCTTTTAACTATATTTCCAGCTATGTACATCAAGAATACCCCTCTCTCATCCAACACCATGCCTCCCCAGAATCCCTTGTTACAGACCTCAGCATCACAACTTTTGGGAAGATCAGCAGCATCTCCTTCCGCTCCAACCACCGCCACTTCTTTCGACAATACAACACCTTCACCCATCCCATATGCCAATTCACCTAGGTCTTCTACAAATATAATGAATACACCATCCCCTCAGCAACAAACCCCACAACAGCAGCCACCAGTGCAGCAGCAACAGCAGCAACGCCAGAAACTGATGCAGTTACCTCAACAGCAGCAGCAGCAAATGCTTGCTCAGCAGCAACAGCTCAGGCAATCTGCAATGCAAGGACTGGGACAGGTAAATTTTCAATCATGTGTTTTGCTATGACTCAATACATCCTTCATTTAACCTTCAAGACTGATTAGAGTACATTATACGTTTTGTTCTATGATCATTTTGTACTCCAGCTTCTCAGTTTGCCATGTGTTAAAGGCTGCTTTTGCTATCTAATTTTCTCCTATTTTTAGATAAAACCATAGTTTTTAAACCTAGACGAGTTTAACCTGACCCGGAATCATTCCTTTGGCTAGTAAATTGCGCCCTGTTTTCTATCTTTCTGTCTGCTTCCTTGCTTCAGGACATCAGTAAATCTTGAGTGATTAATATAAATAAAAGGAGATAAGCTTGAGTAAATACTGTGTGGGAAGTCTAACACCATGAATACATGCATGGACTCATTAATCGCCAAGTAGAAATTAAATTATTGTTATTTTTTGCATCTTTCTATTCTCTATTTTGGTGGTAACAAGCTTGCTTTCATCATCAATTGCATGGACAACATCAGATGCAATTTTCTCAACCACTTGGGCATCAGCAATATCAGGGTAGGCAGCTGTCATCAGGACATGTTCAGCATGGCATTGGTCAAAGCCAACACAATCAAGGAAATCAAATGACTCGATTAAGCCAGTTCTCTGGTCCTGCTAACAGTGCGCTATTCAGTGCTGCTCAATCAACACCTAATACCCAAATGGTATGGTAGTCATGTAATATAATTTATTCAAATAGCGTATGATTTTACTATGACTATATTTTATTATGAGCAGCTAACTGCAGAAGGAAGTAATAGCTAATTGATTGAAATTACTTTGATTGTCTATTGGTATTTCTTTGAAAGGAAAACCAGCCTCATAAGTAATTAAATAAATTAAAAGGAAGAACGAAACTTATTTAAAGGAGGACAATATTTTGGAGTCCACATCTAACACAGATGTGACCTTGCTGTTTTAGTTGTGTGTGTTTAGCCTTTTTTTGCAGTAAATTTCACCAGATTTTTTTTCCTTTATGTTTGTGTGTTAATATTTTTTTTTTTTTTTTTTGTTTCTTGCAAATCTCTATGGAGGGGGAGGGGGATTCATCATACTCATGTTTTGGTTTTGTTCTTGGTTTGTAATTATTTGAATTCTGCATTGCTGCCAGTATAGAGTAGGAATGGCTTTTCAAAACGTTTAACACTAAAACATTAATAACTGTTTCAAACGTTTAGTTATTTATTATACAACAAAGCTATCTCTTCTATATGATTGTGGTATGACCAATATATTACAATGTTATGGGGAACTTGTTATCATGCTAGTCGAGGTAGAGCTTCCCTTAGGCATAGGGATTTTTGTTGGCTTCTTGGGTTGGGAAATGGGCTGTTTCCAAGAAGTTGAGTTGATAATGGAATTACCCTAAATTCAATGGTACAGATTCTTTGGCCTGGCAAAGCCACTGAAAATAGCTCTTCTTCTAGGCTAGAACATTTGTTTGAAAGTGTTGGTGAAAATCATTCTTTATTTTAATTAAAATGAAGATTTCTGAACATAGTGAAGTTCTTTTGGGATAAAAGAATAACAATGTGTTCCTGGATGTGATTTCTGCATTTTGGGAAGTGGTTTCTTGTCTTGCTGTTTGAAAAGATTACTCTTCTGGATTTTTGATGATTTTCTGTTGCTTTGTATCTTTGTGCCCCCTGCTGATGATGCGCCTTCAACAATTACTTCTATGATTAATTTTTCTTCATAATCTCAGATTCCAAACATTTCTGGCGCATTACCTTCACAGTCTCTTCATCCTCGGATGCAGGTTTGTCTTTAATGTTCTCTGCCTAGTGGATAATCCTAATATGTCTCATTGGTTTTCTTGAAGTAAAATTTTTGTCGGATTAGAATGAAACAAGAAGAGGGTAATTGGTGCAACTGTAAAGTTGTGCCTCGATGTCAGGTGGGTCATGGGTTCAGATTGGAAAACAATCTCTTTGCATATGCAAGGATAAGGCTGCTTACAATAACCCTCTCCCATACTTACACATTGCATGGAGCCTTCGGCATTGGGGTATATTAGTTTTTAGAATGAAACAGGAAAAGAAATCAAAAGAAAATATGGTGACTGATCTATCTAAGGTGTTCTGGGCATGTTTCGAACTCCATTACTTAGTTAAAGTAAATTTTAGTCACTGTTTTGTTTGACTCACTCCATTGACATTATACTTATAATTGCATCATTAATAGAAACTGATTGGGGACTTTTAGGGGCTGTTCTGATTTGCTAAGTTAAGAAATTGATTTTGGGAACTTTTATTGTATTTTTTTTATATGATGATTATTTTCCTTTTACATAAGGATTGGTTAGTCTTCTGCTAGGAATCAAGAGTTAAAATGAGAAAGAAAAGAAAAGAAAAATTATTGAAGAGGACATTACTCTCTACTCCAAGGGTTTCCCCCTCACAAAGAATTTCCCCTTTCACAAAGAACTAATGTTCAATTTACAAATGAATATATTTCCCTCTTTCCTATCCTTCTTCCCCAATTTATATCTTACTGACACCTCAACTAACACAAACTCAGAAATATTTTAACTATCTTAGTTGACAAACACCCCTCCTAATGAATGGGAACCCATTGGCCATTGCATGCAAACACTGGTCTGGTGGCTTAGGTGGTGGTGGGGATGAAGGTGGGCTTTGCCATGAATCACCATGAATGCCTCTGAACCTTCCTTTTTCCGTGGCTCAATCGTCAAGTTGTCGTTCATAGACACAACAGAGTTTAATGTTACAGGTTCACCCAACAAATTGAAATTCCAAGATTCCAATACCACTGATGTTTAAATCACCTTCATGATTGAATCTGGTTTCAACAACGAATTTTGGTTCATTGTAACAATATCTTTTTGGAAATGAGAATTTTGTAACCAATGACATATGGTTACATCTTCACTTCAACTTTCTTTTTGATCAACTCTACTATTGGGTTATCGAGAGAATTATCTTCGCATGCCACTCCTTGTGTTTCACCCTCTTTATTGATGTATCAACTTCTTCCTGTATCATAGCTTTTGTTTCTTCTGCTAATTTTACTTACTTATTTTTGTTTTCTTCTCCACCATAAAATGGGTGTGATTCTTGATTACTAAACCTTCTTTACTTCTATTTTATGATTTTAAGAATTGAAATGGATAACCAGACCACTTAAAACTACTGCTATCTGACTTGGTTTCCCCTTCCCTGTTTCCATCAAAGGTGAATAGTTCCACCTTTCTTGTACAAGAGTTAGCCTCTGCTTCAATGCATTCTGACCCACTCCCCTACATGCAATTTTTGCCTCTAACAGTCAAATACAGATCACCCTCGTCACTCAATATTTTGTGCATCATGTGGTTTCGCTCCAAAATGTTGGTCCTTTCTTCGAAGAACATTGTGGGAGTCTCCTTCTCTTCAATACGCTTTACCATCTTAGTTTACTCTTTATGCTTGAAGGTACTCAATCTTTCAAAGATGTGGCTACTATAGCTATCTTTGAATTTTTTGGTCTAATCTATCTATGGAAAATAATTCACTAACTGAATTTATGTTTTCTAGGCACGAATGATAGAATCAAAGCATTGCCACTAGAGCTGTCAATACAGGATGATCGGGTCACTTTTAAAAGGGTTGCCCTGGCTCAAACCTGCCCTCCTTAAATTTAAAAACTGAAAATAAAACCAAAAATAAAAGTACTGAATTTGTTTTGGGGTTGTTAACTGTCCTAGTAAAGTTAGGGGTGGTTTGAGAGGAGAGTTAATGGTGTGCTTTGAGTTTGGGTTGGGCCTTGTTGCGATATACTATAATTTTATCTTGAGTATATCTTTTGGTTCAACAAACCCGAACTTGTCATCGATTTGGTTGGTTCGTGAGTTTGGATCCATTTTAATAGCTCTAATTACCACCCTCTCCATCCTCATGAATGTATATTGCAGCATATGTTATAAATGAATTTTTTGTACCTCAGAAATTTTCAGTCCTTCCAATCCACCCAATTGGATTTACCCCCACAAATGCTGACTGCTTTCCCTTGGCCCTAATTTGTGCTTCCTCTATCAATTAACACTTGCTTTTTCCTCGAAGACTCGGCAAGTCAAACGAATTATTAGGAACCAACAATTAAAATAAGAAAGAAAATAAATATTTTTATTGAATAGGATGACAAAAACAAGAAATAGGAACACTTCTTCCCCTACCAAATGAATTATCCTTTTACAAAGAGCTAATGCTCAATTTACAAATGAGCATATCGCCCTCTCTCCAATCCTTCTTCCCCTGTTTATATATATCTAACTAATTCATTAATTTCTAACTAACTTTTCTTTCTCCTTGTACCCTAACATTTTCTTGTGACTCACTTTCAGTTGGCAGCTTTCTTGAACAAAATAATTTCTATCATTCGTTTACTTCTTCTTCATCATCTGTATACAATGATTAGTTGCCTTCAAATGCTTTTGGTAACTTTAATCATGAGGATAACTTATCAAACTTGCTCTTACATTTATTATTTCCTCAGTTCGGATTATCGGGAAACAACCCTCAGCGAAGCCATGCTTCTCAAATGTTGAGTGATCAGAGTATGAGCTTTATCCTGAATATCTATTTTTTTTCATTGGTTATTTGTGGACCTTGTGTGCTAGTCTTTCCTCCTTGAAAGGGTTGTTAGGCAACCTGGTGATCATTTATTCCATCTTCTATTTAAGACATTTTACTTGAATCATCACTGTGAGGTTTACCTTGCAGTGTTTAACATGGGAGGTGGCAATCCTGGTGGTATGATGCCCATACAGCAACAGCATGGCTCACAAGCATTTGGTAGCATGGCATCGAATGCTCAGAATCTTCAATCTGGGATGGTGACACTTCAAAACTCACAACAGAATCACCCAAATTTCTCTCAACAGAGACAGCAAAATCAGCAGTGATTAGGACTAGGTAGGGATGGTTTTGTTTAAAACCCTGAACCGAACTTTGTTGCTCTAGATACTTGGTTCACACAAACTGAACACAACTTTTAATTATATTTTGGGTGTTCAAGTTGTTTTTAATTTTGTAAAACAACTGAACTGGAGAACTGAATCTGGTCAGTCCAATTAGGCTGACGCCTTGATTGAAATTATAAGGCGGACTAGTATAAATGGATTACAACTGGATAAACATATATTATAATTTAGAAAATAGTTTGTGTAGAGCATAAAATGACTGGTTGATTCAAAACTATTTTTAGGGGCAATAATTGAATTGGCCTTCTTGGTTTCAAATTTCGATCATCATGTAGATAATTTTAGTTTTATAGTAAACTAATTTTTTATTATTTAATATGATAGTTATTTTGATAAAAAAAATTATTATATTGTTATCATAATAAATTCTATAATAATGATAAACACTGTCTTATATAATTTCAATCTAAATTATTCTTTATTATAAACTTATTATGACTATGATATTAATGATAAGATTTCTCTCTCTCTCTCTCTCTCTCTCTATATATATATATATATATATATATATATATATATATATATATATATATATATATATATATATATGATAATTATTTGAATCTTTCAATAGAAAATTTGTTAAGGAAAAAAAATTATATTATATATAATTGAATATTTGTTAGATTATTTATGGAATCTACAATTTTAGGTAATAAGTTTTAGTTTTGTTAAAAATGAAAGGAAAATGTTTTTTTAATATGATATTAATGATTAAGTTTCCTCAATATATATATATATATATATATATATATATATATATATATATGATAATTATTTGAATCTTTCAATAGAAAATTTGTTAAGGAAAAAATAAATAATATTATATATAATTGAATATTTGTCTATTAAAAAGTGCTATGAAATGTCTATCTTAATTAATATATTAATTTGATTAATATATTATCAATTTAATATTGAATATATGAAATCTAATTTTTAATATTTAATTATTAAGTTAGAGAATTTTATATCATTTGATTATTAATTATATTTATGTTAAATATTACTATATAATTTGTTAACATTAAAAATATAAATAATGATTTCAAATATATTTGATGATTTTAAGTTCAGAGAAAAATAAATTTATTATTCGGACTTTGTCAAAAATATTTGAATCATGTAAATTCTTTATATCATTTAAGAATTATATTTCTATTTTTAGAATCTCTCGTAGATTTATTTTTCTATTTTGTGAAATGTCCGTTTGAATGGTTGACGCTATATATGCATGAAAGTCATCTTTGTTTTTCTGGTAAAGGAAGCCTAAAATATAGGCATTGCAGTATATGACCGACATTTGGCCAAAAGCTAGGCCAATTCTTCATTGGATTTGATATGCGCTGTTGATGGAGAATAGATATTTTAAGATCAGCTGCACTGTTTAAATAAAAGGAGAAAATGTTGAGATATCTCTGCATGCTTATGAGGTCGTGTAACATGCATGCTGTGATAATGATGCATGTATCCTAAGTGACTGCGGAATAAATTTTATACTGGGATTATTAAATACAAACTTAATTTTATAATAAAAAATTTCAAGAATATATGACATCCGTTTAAATTTAATTTTACAAAATTAAATTTACTCGCTTAGAAATATACTTGAAGTTACCGTGTCATTTTAGATGTGTAACCTGTAAAATGTCCTTATCATGAAAATATAGATGTAAGAGAGGGTGAAAAAAAAGGAGCCTTTTATAGCAACACGAACACCGAGTAACATCAAAACAGTTGGAAGTAAGGAGGGAGATCTGATAAAATCTCCAGAACCACTGATATGTTAATTGTTCATTTGTATCTGAATTCCTATCATGTTTTTACAAAAACCAGAAATAAAAAAATAAAGGGGAAAGTAACAATGGTAAAGGAGACTCGGAAGACATGTTAAATGGTATCTACGCAGAAACTTTGGAGTTCAATTGAATGCGTAAACAACAACCATTCGCTGACCAGGAACAAAATCTGTTGAATACTGCTTTTATTCCTTGAGCTGTTCTTTGTCATTTTGGAAGATTCAAGGAAATTTGTCACAGCAACTGCAACATGTTTTTATAAACCATTCCAACCTGTTCTTATCCAGGGGAGAAAAAATTGGTTAGTGTCATATTCAGCCTCACATCCATCAAGAATGGTGGGAAAACACCTACCTAATTGCGTTTGACTAATGGATGAGAAAGTGTTACCTGTTTGAATACCTACCAGTCCAAGAGAGACATTTTGTCATGTGTATTACTATAATTTGTGCTAGTTTTGAACAAAAGGAAGCTCATTATCCTAAACTATCAGATGATTCATAATCTTAAGTCAAATGTGACAATTCAGCATTCCCAGTCCCCAATAATTTGCTTTGCTTAGCATCCCCACTCCCAGTACAAGTAATGATTTAGCATCCAATCAAAAGTTCAAGTCAATATTTAACCAGAGAGAATGAGAAATCAATTTTTGAAATCCGACTCATTGTTATAATATATGTATGAATGTATATGAAATTAAGAGAAGAGGTCTTACAAGTCCTTGAGGCATGTACTCTTGGATTCCAATTCTGGGTGATCCAATGAAAATACAGATGGAACATTAGTAGTGGCTAAAAATGTCTTGTGCAGAAGGGGAAGATTGTCATGAGATGGGTGGGAGGAAGGAGCGAGCGAGAAAGGTGGCGATGGAGTTGAAGATACTGAGAAGGAGTATGTCCTGTTGCCTGGTCCAAAACTAATGGGAAGTGGAGAGGGAGGTGTAGGAGGTGATGATGTAGGAGACTCGCACCCTAAATTCATATTAATTAAACATTACATTCACAAACTCTTCTCCATTTCACTTTCATTCTTCTTTCCTCTGACAAATGATATTCTGGACTAGATATAACACAATGCTACAATAACAATCTTAAGTATGCATGAGTTTCAGGTGTAACCAACCTAACGGTCATATGTATGCCAAACTGCCAAGGCAAGTGCCAACCATCAGCTATCTAGCTAGCTACTCATTCTTTGCTTGGGCCATCCTTGCTTTGGATTGACTTTCAGCTTGGCACTTTCTTCCTGGACTCCTATGTTTTCTTCTTGCACCCTTTACTTTGAGAAATTGTATTCTAAAATATTCTTGATTAGTAAATCTAGAAAATTTTTGAATTGCCAAAAATATAAATCTTTTTAAGTAGTAAGTTAAACAATTTGGAACATATAATTTTTTAAAAATTTCGGAATACGTAGTCTAAAATATGTAAAACTATTATATATCTCGGACTGTGTCATTCAAAATTAAAATAAATAAATATTATATATATATATATATTCAACTTATTTTAGCTCCCTCCAACAGTGCAAAAACCTTCCTCCCTTGAAGCCACAATTTGTGAGCAATCCTATGAGCCCGGCACACAAGAAACCTTTTGAAATTCAACAAACATTGCACATAACTAACGTATGCAGGGTCCTTTTCTTGAACCGCTACCAAATCATCCTTCCTATGATGTCATCTCCATCATTATCAATCAAAACACCCAAGAAAAGTTCAAAAAGGGTGCTCCTTGGAAGGCTCAAACTGCTCAAATTGGTGGAGAGGTGGTTGGCGAAGACACTCTCCAAATATCAACAACCTCAAAGTCAAGAACACCAACACCACCCTCCACACGCACGAATGCCATCTCTCAGTATGGCTTTAGACAGTATGGTATCTACACTCATACACTCCCTGAATCCTTTTTTTAAGTCCACATGGATCATCACCGTTAGCAGGCCAGCCAAGCTGGGACCGTGAGTTCATATTTTGAAACAAAAATCTCACAGTAGCAGCTGCAGCAAACATTCCAAAAATAAAAATATTAAGTAAACTCAAAACCTGCATTATGGATTTTCATTATCTAATAGGTTATGGCTTCATCATCATCTATTTACATATTTCAATGCATACTTCAGGCAAAATTAATCTATGATGATAGAATCCTTAAATATACTACTTCTAAGCTGAAAGTGAAAGATTTGGATCTCAGATCAGGCCTCTCCTAATTCCTTTTTGGAATAATAAAATTTCTGGCTTTCGAATCAATCATTTCAGAAGTTTATCAACCTTTCTGGAATTTTTCTTTGTAGTGAAGTTATGTCCTAAATTATTTAATCTGAAACTTTAAAAAAATTGTATATCTTAAGTTACGTCCACAGATATTGAAAACAATAGTCAAACCTTCCATTTAAAATTCAATCTGTAATGGATTTAGAAAAATTATACCTTTGACTAGCCTTTTCTCACTATTTCATTCCAGCTTATTTCAAGATAGTATATGGAAGATGTTGAGTCCATATACAATACAACACTTTTCTGTAGTCTTTCTTTAGCGCAAACTATCTGCAAGAAACAAATGATTGCATGTTGGCCACACAATACAATAATCATAAGGCAGGTAAACTTGCTTGGAATAACCTTCCTTCCAGTAGCCTAGTTCATAAAATCATAAAATATTAGTAAAGAAGGTTTAGTAATCAAGAACCAAAATTCATTGTTGAAACCAGATTCAGACATGAAGGCGATTTAAACATCAGTGGTATTGGAATCTTGGAACTTCACTTTGTTGGGTGAACCTGTAACATTAAACTCTGTTGTGTCTATGAATGACAACTTGACAATAGAGCCAAGGAAAAAGGAAGGTTCAGAGGCATTCATGGTGATTCATGGCAAAGTCTACCTTCGTCCCCACCACCACCTAAGCCACCAGACCTGTGTTTGCATGCAATGGCCAATGGGGTCCCATTCATTGGGAGGGGTGTTTGTCAAATAAGATTGTTAAAATATTTCTGAGTTTGTGTTAGTTGAGGTAAGATATAAATTGGTGAAGAAGCATACAAAAGAGGGAAATATATTCATTTGTAAATTGAACATTAGCTCTTTGTGAAAGGGAAAATTCTTTGTGAGAGGGAAACCTTGGAGTAGAGAGCAATGTCCTATTCAATAATTTTTTTTTTCTTTAATTTCTCATTTTAACTCTTGGTTCCTAGCAGAAGACTAACCAATCCATATGTAAAAGGAAAATAATCATGACAAAAAATTTAAAAAAAGGTACAATAAAAGTTCCCAAAATCAATTTCTTAACTTAGCAAATCAGAACAGCAGCCAAAAATCACCAATCAGTTTCTATTAATAATGTACTTATAAGTATAATGTCAATGGAGTGAGTCAAACAAAACAGTGACTAAAATTTACTATAACTAAATAATGGAGTACAAAACATGCCCAGAACACCTTAGATAGATCAGTCACCATAGTTTCTTTTGATTTCTTTTTCTGTTTCATTCTAAAAACTAATATACCCCAACGCTGAAGGCTCCTTGCAATGTGTAAGTATGGGAGAGAGTTATTGTAAGCAGCCTTATCCTTGCATATGCAAAGAGATTGTTTCCCAATCTGAACCCATGTCGCACCTGACAACGAGGCACAACTTCACAGTTGCACCAATCACCCTCTTCTTGTTTAATTCTAATCCGACAAAATTTTACTTCAAGAAAACCAATGAGACAAATTAGGATTATCCATTGGCACAGAACATTAAAGACAAACCTGCATCCCTGTTTGGAATCTGAGATTATGAATACAAATTCATCATAGAAGTAATTGTTGAAGGTGCATCATCAGGAGGGGGCACAAAGATACACAGCAACAGGAAATCAAAGATCCAGAAAAGTAATCTTTTCAAACAGCAAGACAAGAAACCACTTACCAAAATGCAGAAATCACATCCAGGAACACATTGTTATTTTTTCATCTCAAAAGAACTTCACTATGTTCAGAAGTCTCCATTTTAATTAAAATAAAGAATGATTTTCACCAACAATTTCAAGCAAATGTTCTATCTTAGAAGAAGTGCTACTTTCAGTGGCTTTGCCAGGCCAAAGAATCTGTACCATTGAATTTAGGGTAATTTCATTATCAACAAAACTTCTTGGAAGCAACCCATTTTCCCCACCCAAGAAGCCAACAAAAATCCCTATGCCTAAGGGAAGCTCTAGCTCGACTAGAATGATCACAAGTTCCCCATAACATATTGTAATAAGGAAATACAAAAGGTTATCTGTTTTTCATCAGTTTAACAATAGCACCATATATTGGTCACACCACAATCGTATAGAAGACATAGCTTTGTTGTATAATAAATAACTAAATGTTTGAAACAGTTGATAATGTTTTAGTGTTAAACGTTTTGAAAAGCCATGCATACTCTATACTGGCAGCAATGCAGAATTCAAATAGTTACAAACCAAGAACAAAACCAAAACATGCGTATGATGAATCCCCCTCCCCTTCCATAAGATTTGCAAGAAACAAAAACAAAAAAATAATATTAACACACAAACATAAAGGACAAAAAAATCTGGTGAAATTTACTGCAAAAGATGGCTAAACACACACAACAAACAGCAAGGGCACATCTATGTTAGATGTGGACTCCAAAATATTGTCCTCCTTTAAATAAGTTTCGTTCTTCCTTTTAATTTATTTAATTACTTATGAGGCTGGTTTTCCTTTCAAAGAAATACCAATAGACAATCAAAGTAATTTCAATCAATTAGCTATTCCTTCTGCAGTTAGCTGCTCATGATAACATATAGTCATAGTAAAAACATGCGCTATTTGAATAAATTATATTACATGACTACCATACCATTTGGATATTAGGTGTTGTTTGAGCAGAACTGAATAGCGCACTGTTAGCAGGACCAGAGAACCGGCTTAATCGAGTCACTTGATTTCCTTGATTGTGTTGGCTTTGACCAATGTCATGCTGAACATGTCCTGAAGACAGCTGCCTACCCTGATATGGCTGATGCCCAAGTGGTTGAGAAAATTGCATCTGATGTTGTCCATGGAACTGATGACGAAAGCAAGCTTGTTACCACCAAAAAAGAGAATAGAAAGATGCAAAAAATAACAATAATTTAATTTCTACTTGGCGATTAATGAGTCCATGCGTGTATTCATGGTGTTAGACTTCCCACACAGTATTTACTCAAGCTTATCTCCTTTTATTTATAGTAATCACTCAAGATTTACTGGTGTCCTGAAGCAAAGAAACAGCCAGACAGATAAATAGATAGAAAACAGGATGCAATTTACTAGCCAAAGGAATGATTCCGGGTCAGGTTAAGCTGGTCTAGGTTTCAAAACTATGGTTTTATCTAAAAATAGGAGAAAAATAGATATCAAAAGCAGCCTTTAACACATGGCAAACTGAGAAGCTAGAGCACAAAATGATCATAGAACCAAACGTATAATGTACTCTAATCAGTCTTGAAGATTAAATGAAGGATGTATTGAGTCAGTGCAAAATACATGATTGAAAATTTACCTGTCCCAGTCCTTGCATTGCAGATTGTCTGAGCTGTTGCTGCTGAGCAAGCATTTTAGGGTAATTCCATTATCAACAAAACTTCTTGGAAGCCACCCATTTTCCCCGCCCAAGAAGCCAACAAAAATCCCTATGCCTAAGGGAAGCTCTAGCTCGACTAGAATGATCACAAGTTCCCCATAACATATTGTAATAAGGAAATACAACAGGTTATCTGTGTTTCATCTTGTTGAAGTATTTATTAGATTAAGTGTATCTTGTTGGACATTTATAAGATTAGTTGTAGACCTAGTTCCTAGAATGCATGTGTTTATCTTCTCTAGGATTAATCATGTCTCTCTATTAATTGTATCTCTGAATCTGTATTTTTATCTCCTATAAATAAGAGAACACAAGAAGATGATTTCAGGCTCTCAAAATCAGTTCTTTATTTACTTTTTTTTATTTCAAGTTGGTATCAGAGCGGGTTCATCCCGCTCTGCCTGTCTCTGTTTTTTTTTGGCATTAGTCACCGTTCACCGCCGTCCGCCGCTGTTCGCCGCCGGTGCTGTCTTCTCCGGCGCCTTTTTCCTCTCTGACACTTGGGTTTGGCTCGCCTCGAGGAGCACGACCCAACCCCAGTGTTCGCTTCCTCTATCTCTGCCTCACGCGCCACCCTCGTCCACGGCTTCCTTCGCGCATGGGCCTCACGCGCCGCCCTCTCGGTGGTTGTTTTGCTCCAGGCCACCTCTATCCGGCTCACCTCGTCGCCCTAGTGCCAGATCTGCACTTTGTTTTGTGTTCTCGGTCACAAAACGTGGTGGCTCTGCGTTTTTCTCTCTGCCTCTCTCGGTCCTCTCTCTGACAACACGCTGGTCCTTTCTTGTTTCCTAGAAAATGTCAGGACCTGTGTCTGTATCTTTTTCTAGGACTCCGACTATAACCACAGAAAAATTAAATGGAAAAAATTATTTGTCTTGGGCTTCCTCTATTGAGCTCTGGTTTCTAGGTCAAGGAGTTCATGATCATCTAGAAGAAGATGGAAGTACTATACCAGCAGATCAGGCTCCTCAATGGAAGAAACTGGATTATCAACTTTGTGCACTATTATGGCAATCTGTTGAACCACATATTTTGAGCACTCTTCGAGCCTTCAAGACATGTAATTCTTTTTGGAAAAAGGCTCAAAATATCTTTGCTAACGATATTCAACGACTTTATGATTCTGCTAATAGACTAGTCTCCCTTAAGCAAGAGGATAATTCCATGATGTCCTTTGTTGCTGAAGCTCAGTCAGTTGTTGAAGAATTAAAAATGTTCCTGGAGGCAGAATCATTAGAAGAAAGGAAGACGAAGCTGGATAAATTCTATATGGTAATGATTCTTAGGGCTATGAATCCAGAGTTAAATCATGTTAGAGACCAGATTCTAATTGGAGAAGAAGTTCCTTCTACGAAGAGTTTAATCACAAGGCTACTTCGTGTTCCTTCTATCAAAAGCAAAAACAGTCAGGAACTTGCTGATTCTTCCGCCATGATTTCTGCTCGTGAAAGAGGTAATCACAGCTCTAGAGGACGTGGTGGGAAAGGACGTCCTCAGTGCTCTCATTGCAAAAGAATGGGACATACTAAGGAAAATTGCTTTGCTCTGCACGGCTTTCCTGATAAGGCAGCTAATACCTCAAAATCTGAAGTTGATGAGCCCAAGTTCTCTCATGAAGAGTATCAAGAATATTTAAGGATGAAATCAACCAATTTGGCTCAAGCATCTACAACACCAAATTCGTCAACCGCTTCCATTTCGCAATCTGTGGAAAGTCAAAATCCATGGATTATTGACTCAGGTGCTTCTAACCACATGTCTGGTAATACCTCTTTATTTTCCTCTCTTTCATTTCATAAAACATCCCATCTCATATCTTTAGCTAATGGATCTAAAGTTTGCCTCTAAAGGAATTGGTCAAGTATGCATCTCTTCTTCTTTAAACCTTCAAAATGTTCTTTGTGTTCCTTCTTTTTCATTCAGTCTTGTTTCTGTAAGCCAATTAACCAAATCATTGAATTGCTCAGTAACCTTTATTGTCAATTGGTTTTATGTTGGAACCTTAACATAGTATCAGAGCCAAAGCCTAACATCTTTCCGGTTATTGTCATGGGCCAAAAGTTGCCCTTTAGTTGGGTTAAAAGTACCCTTTGCCTGGTCCGGCAGGCTTCGTTGGAGGGGGTGTGTTGAAAGTCCCACATCGCCTACCTCATGTCATTTGGTATGGTTTAAATACATGTTAGGCTATTCCACATATTGCCAATTGGTTTTATGTTGAAACCTTAACACATCTATTTAACAATAGCACAATATATTGGTCATACCACAATCATATAGAAGACATAGCTTTGTTGTATAATAAATAACTAAATGTTTGAAACAGTTGATAATGTTTTAGTGTTAAACGTTTTGAAAAGCCATACCTACTCTATACTGGATGAATCGAGAACTGGGTTCCATTCTGTATTGGCTTCTGCCTTATGTTTATGTTTTCTTGTATTCCTTCATCGTGCCTGTCAAAGTGTAATGCATGCAATGCCTTGGCAGATAACAACCTCAAATCTCTCATCTCAGCCAACAACTTTAAAGCAGAAAGACATATATCCGATCTACATGCATATTTACAAAAGTTGAAGAAATTCCTGTCACTCAACTGTACCCTTGAATCAATCATCTCATGTAGTATCTGTTTCATCGCCTGGAAATCTCTTTCTTTACAAAAAATGAAAAACATCATATTATAGGTATGAACACTAGGTTTCAGACCATTATCCTTCATACGGTCATACAAGGAGCAAGCCTCTTGAATTCTCCCATCTCTAAGTAGTGCACAGAGGCCAACTGTGTATGCCACACTGTCGAGTGGATATCTATTCATTACTGCTAATCTGGTAACACTGGCAGCCTTGTGATACTTTCTGACCCTTATAAGCTCGCCTGTTATTAAAGTATGTAAGTGAGCATCATTATCACGATAACTCGTAACAACAGCAAGGTACACATTAACAGCTTCATCAACTCTTCCCGCAGCACAGAGTGCACTTAGCAATCCAGCAAAACTATATCTATCTGGCACAAAACCTTTATCAATCATACGGTCATAGAATGCAACGGCAAGAGAAGGAAGCTCGGCCTTAGTAAGAGAGCTTAAAAGAGCATTACAGAACACTAAATCCGTATCTATATGTCTGGAGACTAGAACTAGTTTGGGTAAGAGATAAAACATTCTGGAGCGACAAATTGTGGATAACAATGAAGTAAAGGTATAAGAATCAGGTTTTAAGTTTTGCTCGGACAAGGTGAGAAAAACTCGGAGTGCAGCATGGCACCTTCCGGCTTTTGAAAGGCAATCAATTAATACATTAGAAAGAATTAAGTCCGGAATTTGGCCTGCAGATAACATGACATTAAACAAACCAAAAGCACGGGGTTGCATGTTGGATTGCATAAAAGCCTTAAATAAGATGGTATATGTTACAACATTTGGAGAACAACCGGTTTGAAGCATATTGTTGAAGAGGTTGGTAGCAAGATTAAGAAGACCCAATTTACAGTAGGTATGGATGAGAATGGTCCAAATATTGACAGAGAAACTGATGCCGAGAACAGTCATGAGAGCGAGGAGCTGATAAGCCTGCGGTAGTGCATTAATGTTACAGAAAGAATTGAGAAGCGTCCGAAATGCCAGAGGGGAGGGAGAATAGCCAGCCCTGAGCATAAGTCTGAGAATAGGAGAGACGTAAGGGAGAGTGTTGTGGTTGTGGCTGTGCCCGTCCCTCTTCAAGTTCAAGTTGGAAAGATGAAGGAGTGCAATGTTGAAGGTGAAGAAATTAGGGGGATGAGTGTGGTTGAAAAGCGAGAGTGTGACGGCCACATGGGAGTGCCCAGTCCTAAAGAGAACATCCATCATCAAATTACGAGCGAAGGTGTCGGGGACAAAACCGTACGCACCTTTCATGTGCTTATACGCCTCAGCAACCATGTCGTACATACCCGCACGCCGGTAAACCCTCAACAAAACCAACTGAGATTTGGGGTTTGTGAGAGAGCCGCCGATGCTCTCCAGCTCAGAGAGCATGGCTGGGACGGTGTTGTAGCGGTCAGTGAGGCGACGGAGTACAGGCACGACGCAGTCCAGGTCCAGCGAGTCGTGGCGGCACCGTTGGGCTGACCAAAGAAAAAATGAGAGAGCAATCAAATCAGATGGACATCTTGACACCGTGCGCCTCACCCTCTCGCTGTTCACCCTCACCCTCTCGATGCCTCTCCACCGGTCCAGTAGTTCCCGCCTAGTAGCAAGTTTGTTCGCCATTGTCATTGACGTGGTAGGGTTTATCCTACAGATTTTGAATCACATAAATACTAAGTTTATGCTTATATCTATCATCCTAATTACAAAACGGCACCTCCTCGGGACTGAATTGCAAAATATGAGGGACTGAATCCGCGCGCTTCATAGTCTCTTTTTTCAGGGGATGGATCATTATTTTCCTATTAACTAATAATTTTATTCTCGTCTCTCTGAAATCTTTCAACTTAAAACAAATTAATAGTCGTTTGTCGTCTGAATATTTCTAATTTAAATTCTTTAAATATTCAAATCCATCATTTTTTAGATTTTTTCAAATTAGTAACTTCATTTAAAAAATAGTTCATCGTACACACATTAGATTGGTTGAACACGTGAAACTCAAATTTAAATTATTATTAATAAAATATATGTATTTTTTTTAACTCCACTAGTTTATTTCTTTACAAGTTAAACCTATTCTTTTTTTAATGTTAAATTCATTCACATACTTTTTGGATTTTTTTTAAGTATTATTCAAATAGGAGATTATTAGATCTTTATTTTAATTATTTTCTTAATCAGATAAAAGATGAATAACGTAAGATAAACTAGTTTTTCTCACAAAAACATTTGGTATACGTTTGTCCCGTAACAATATTTTGTAGTCTCGGGAGTCATATTCTTTGGAAACTATATTCAATAATGATATTCCCATAAACATATTTGTTTGGTATTCAATAAGAAAAAAATGTATATTTAAATTTTAAATTAAAAGAAAGAATTAAGTATGTAATGAAATAGTTAGTTGTTATAATATGAATTAAGTTTATTTGAGCTTTCGAAGGAGTAATCATGATTTGTACATCAAATGATTAAAATAAAACTCAACTATTAAAATATAATCTAATATAACATTATCTTATGATATATATATATATATATATATATATATATATATATATATATATATATATATATATATATATTCTTTTCATAAAAACACTCACATTTTAGTTCGGAAATAATGAGATAATGATATATGAATTTTATTTTATTTAAAATGTATACATGTTAAATTGGTTCAAATTAATTATCCAGAAAAAATAATATTGGATTAGATTATATAAAATTTGTGCAGTTTTTTAACTTAATTTAATACAACCCAATTTTATTGGATTAAGTCTTTTGAGTCAAAACTTTTATATATTTATATATTAATTTTTGTTATTTCAAAACATTTTAAAATTTTTTTATTTTTAAAATAATAAATTATATTATTTTATATTTAAAAAAATATATTTAATCAATAGAAAAATAACAATTTATATAATATTTATATCAATATTATTATTATGAATATATATATTATTAATAATTTTGATCAAGTTTAATTGAGTTAATTATTGGGTGAAGATATACAATCCGTCATTCAATTGGTAAGTTGAAAAAATTTAAGTAAGATCAAGATAAATTAAAATTGACCCGATCGTAGAAAAAATTCAACTTAATTTATATTTTATATTAAATTATGAGATTATTTAAAATATCAGAATAAGTGTGACATCATAAAAAAACCTAAAAAAATATATTAAATTAAACTAAATAAGCTTAACTTAATCAAATCACTCATAATTCATTTTATATATATTTATTATATTTTTATTATTCAATATTTTCAATTATACAATAGATTTTATGTTATTATTTTTTAAGTAATATAATAGTCTTTCTTAATTTATGTTTGTTATTATCTAAATTATTTCCAATAATACACTAGTTTATTTTTACAGTATATTATTCTTTTATCACTATATGTTTCTTTTATTTTACATTTTGAGTCTACGCTAGTCTCTTATATTACATAATTTTATTTATTTAAACTTTTAGTTTGGTAATAGTTTATAGTTTTTTTTTAAATAATTATTCTCTTAATTTATAACGCATGACAATTTTATTTTACTTGAATTCCAGAGTGAGACTTTTTTTCATAAATAATACTGTTTTTAAAAATATTTTTCCAAAATAGCACCTCTGCAACTTTATTTACACAACTAAGCACTGTTTAGTGTTCACGGAATAAAATAATATTATTTCGCGCAATTGTTGACTGTTCACGTATTAAAATAAAATTATTTCGCGTAATGAACTCTCGCTCAAGCGAATAAAACCTTCGCTTGAGCGAGAAAATCTGTAACAAAGGGTAGTCTCGGGTAAATTCTCGCTCAAGCGAAGAAACCCTTCGCTTGAGCGATAAAATATGTAACGAAGGGGTAATCTCCGGTCAATTATCGCTCAAGCGACGGATATTTTCGCTTGAGCGAAAGGTATGTTCGATTATAATCCCATTATAGTCGATCACTTTGACAAATATCACTTTAGATAGCGGTTATTTGGTCAACCGCTATCTAAACTAGATACGTAAGACAGCGGTTAAGGCTTAACCGCTATCTAATATATATTTTTAAAAGCGGTTGTTATGAACCGCTATCTAAGGTTACTCAAGCGAAAAACACATCGCTTGAGCGAGGACACCTGGAAAAATGGGGGATTCTCGGGTTCTGTCTCGCTCAAGCGACGGGTACTTTCGCTTGAGCGATAAGTGATTGAAATATGTGGCTAACTGCGTTTGACGTTTAGCTATGGTCAATTATCGCTCAAGCTAGAAATCCATCGCTTGAGCGAGGAAACCTGCGTTGGACGTTTCTAGCATGATTGTGTGCAACAAATCTATTGGAGACCTGCAGTTTTTCTAGACGCGAAAACACTAACTTTAAAATGAGCTGCATTCAGAATTTAGAAAACTTAATTTCTGTTATGACATTTGATCTGGCATATTGCCCCATTTTGAAGTTAAGTAAATTGATTTCGCTAGAACTAATTTTGAACTCTTATATCGTCAAGTGTGAACTGATTTACTAATGTCAAAACAACCAGGTACGTAGCAGTTCTTTTATCTGTGTTATACAAAATATTATTCTTGTCCTAAAACAAAAGGGAGATGTTCTCATTGCCTTAAGTATATTTTGGTATTCTTTTATTGATTGCTAATATAATTCTGTCAACATCTTGCAGATGTGCAATTTTGGTTGTCAGCCACGGAGATCCCTTGCAAATATTGCAAACAATTATGCATGCATCTAATCAAGACAAGGAACCCACATGTAAAGACCTAGCATCAATACTAAAGGAAGTTCAGGTGGCACCCATCTTGTCCCAGCACCGCAAATATGCGCTGCAAACTGGAGAGCTCAGGGTTGTCATTTGAGATTTGAGATGTAGGAAGGTTACAAAAGGAGTCATGTGAGACCACTTTATGATTTCATTTTAAATTACAAAACAGCTCCCCTGTCATTTTTTAGGAACAGGGATTTAAATTCGTTTCGGTGCCTTTGACATTTGGTACTTCATAGATTATTTAGCAAATAACGTTGATCAGAAATAACATGACATCTGATGTGAATTTAAACCAAAGCCTCACGGCTGAAATTTCTTACTTCCCGAACATTTAGCTCATAATTCTTCCCAGGAAATGTGAGTGACCACGCCTCCGCCCAGTTCCTGGTACTGGGATAACAAAATCCAACATCTTTCACCCAGTGCTAAGCGCTATCCTGTGAGGTGAAGTAGTCATTTTCGTTTTCTTTGGCAACCACCGAAGGCCTCTAATCTGGTAGGTCGCATTGGTTGATCACTACACGTATTGCAACTTATCTCCACTGCATCTTTCCCGGTTGATAGTCCATTATCACTTATATACTTGCCATCTGTCTCCCTCCTTACTATATTATACGTGTAATTTTCCTTTGAGCCTAGTGATGGCTCAAGAAACTTCTGTTAGCTTAAGTTTGGATTGATATTCTGAAAATTAGTTTCTGTTGATAGAGGGAATAGTATGTATCGGATCATAATGGAATAGAACAAAATAAAATATCATTTGATTGTTTAAATATTTTATAATTAAATGATACAAAGATATCATTCTTGAATACAGACGATAAAATAAGGTATAAAAGTTACTTTCCATATATTATCATTATTCTGAAAGTATTTTATATTCTATTTGTTGTGTATATATATGCATATATATGTATACACACGAAAGAATGCTCTGCCCATCATACACTATAGAATCTCCCATCATGACGACCTTCGAAAGCACTCAGACATTTGTTAGAATTGTCACAATCTCCCAATCAAAAATCATATAAACTAAGGGATTGTGGTTGAATGTTAATTTAAAACTTCTTAAGATCTACTGGTGAATTATGGTTGAATGTTAATTTTAGTAATTATACGAGATTTAGTGAAATTGAAGCGAGTAATAGTATTTTTAGAATTATTAATCATGTAAATATTAGATTCCTAGAAGTAAGTAATTTGATAGGTCATTATACCTTTTGAATTAAATATTATAAATATAATACTTAAAATAAGAAGAATGTTAAAAAAATCATTCTTAATGTAATTTTCTATTACATATTAATATTCAGTAAAATTTACCAAAAGTATATGATAAAAAGTTATTAAATGAGAAATGAAGCTATATTAAAATTTAAATTTTCTAATAAATATAATCAAACAGACAATATTTGGTCATTCCATTGATCCATTTGAGAAGTCTATCGTAAGTTTAAGTTAAACTATTTATAAATTGTTTTGGTTTTGATTTATTTTATGGCTGGCATATTTTTTTATCTTTTAGAATCTAGAGCTATTACTTAAAAGGACGACTCTTAGGGAAGCTGTCCAACCCCACTTCATCCCTACCCTGAAGCCTGCTTGAAAGATAAGCATACCAACTTCTCAAGTATCCAATAATCATGCCACACTTTCATCCAAACCATAAATGACGACTATGCCAAGAGGAAAGTTTCATTCAAATCTTCAATGGATAATATTATGGTTTTAATGTTCTATATATCAGAAGATTCGTATTTTGCATTGTAAGTGCGTACTATTAAAGACAAAAGGATATATATATATCTATATATATACACACGACATAATTGTAAAGAAAATCACAGCTTTGGTTTTGTTAATAATATATGATATAATTGGAGCGGATGTTCTTCCCGACAAGCTATTCCTACAATAAAAACATCATTTACTCCCAAGAATGAAACAGTGACAAGCTGCTGTTCTTTGCATGCGCAGCACAAGAAGCATAACGTGCATCAAAACAATGACAGAACATGCTTAAATTTAGTGGCACAGTGAAAGAACGTAATGCATATATAAATTGGAAAGCAGGTATAGCTAAGGGAGGGTGAAGAAAATAACATCCAAAGTTTATGTATACATAGCAAATAATTTATAAGTTATGGGTACAAGAAGAGTGTTGATGGATGAGTATAGTATACCTAATTGATAATGTGGAGTAGGAGGGGAGGAGAGTAAAGAGACTAGAGTCGCAACCTCAAATCGAGAGTGAGGGGAGGAGAGGGGATGGGGGGAGGGGAATTCAAGTGGACGGAGGACTTAGGTGGTGAGTCAAGGAGGAGGAGGTTGTCCCCTTTCTGATTCTCCCAGTGACACCTCTTGTGCCCGCCCAGTGCCTGCCCTGTGGAGAATACCCTAAGGCATATGCTGCACCTGTGCCCGTCACCACTCATGCTCTCCTCATCGCACTTGTTGTTGCTGCTGCTTCCTATGCCTAAGCCTACGCCTACATTACTTGTGTTGGCAAAACACCCCTTCACGTTCTTGTGACTCGCACGGTGCCCTCCAAGAGCCTGGTGCGATCCGAACACCCTGCTGCAACTCGAGCATTCGAACTGCCACTGATGAACATCTTCCTCTTTCTCTTTGTCCCTCTCTTTGTTGGAATTGGCAAGCAGAAGCAAACAGGCAGCGACCTCGTGGTCTTCCTGGGTCATTATCATGGTCATCTGTTGATGTTGTTGCTGCTGTTGCTGTTGCTGTCTTCTTACGTTGGGGGGAGGGTTGATCCCTCTCCACTGACGCTCAGGGTGGCATCGCATGTGGCCGAAGAGTGCCTTCCAAGACCAGAACTTCTTGCCGCACTCCGTGCACGGACGTGGCTCGGAGGATCTCTTCCCCTTCCACCCTTCCTCATCCATTGACGCTATTGATCTGCTCCGCTTCTTCCCCACACAGGCAGAAGAAGTGGCTTCTTCACCGCGATCAGATTCCTCCTTCATACCTCAATTCAACCAAAACCTTTTCCAATCGACTCCCACTGCCTTATCTATCCACCCACACACACCCCTCCCGACAGTTATTGTAACTTCTCATCTGGCGGTTTCTTCGCCAATTCCTTTTTTTCCCTTTTTTTCTCATGCATATATATTTTTTATTTTATTTTTAGAAGATAAAATAGAGAGCTTTTGCCAACTCAATCAAACAAAAAAATCAGTTATATGTCACGTCACGTCTTGCTTCGTGCATGCTATGCGATCCGTCTGTCTCAGAGGAGGAAAGACACGATGCACTCTTGCTTTTCTTCGTGCATGCTAACTATTATTTTTCAAGAGGCTCCTCACATTTTTTGATGGTTGCTACATTTTTTGATCCCAACTCAACAGCAATGAATTTGTTGATCCCAACTCCGATTAAAATGGCTTAGAATGATCAAAGAAGTGTTTTTACAGTATTTTAATCGATACAAATTACTTTTAATCGATTAAAACCCTTTAGAACCCATTATGACCGATCAGATTTGAAATATGAGCGATCAGAACTTATTACAATCGATTAAAACACGTTTCAATCGATTAAAATCACTTAAAGGGTCAGAATGATCGATCAGAATACAGTTATGACCGATCGGAGATGGTTATGATCGATCAGAATTGATTTATGATCGATCAGATTGGTTTCAATCGATTAAAACATATTTCAATCGATTAAAATAACTTGGAAAAATTTTGTACAGAGTTTCAATCGATTAAAACGAGTTTCAACCGATTAAAACAACTTGGAAAAATTTTGTACAAAGTTTTAATCGATTAAAACTTCTTTTTATCAGCTAAAATAACTTGGAAAGTTTTATAAGAAAGTTTTGCAGTATATCAATCGATTAAAACACGAAACAATCGATTGAATCAAACTTAGAAAAGTTTTGTAAAGTGTTTTAATTGATATAACCGTTGTAGTATCAGCTAAAACAAATCTGTTAAAGAATCAAGAACGTATTAATGGATTGAAAGGACTTTTAACAGATTGAAACGGCTATTTCAACAGATTAAAACAAACTTTCAACAGATTAATTAATGCAGCAGTTTTGAACATTGAGATATTCTTTTTCATTCTTTTTCATACATTGAGATATTTCTTAACTAACACAATCTAATGATGCGAAGTAGATGCACATGCAACATTGGGGCATATTCTTCTGCTATGACCAGGGGTATGACAATTTGAACAATTTTTAATCCTACTTTGATTTTCTGTAATGTCCATCTCAGTTCTTATACGACTTGATTTTGGTCGGCCCTTTGAAGTTCTTTTCATTTCTGGATTTGCACACAAAGTAGGTCCTGTGTATGTTGGCCAATATTCTTCATTTCGCAATAACCCAATTGTGTTCCGTATACCTTTGAAACTTGTTGTAAGGTATTGCTCTCTTGTGCGCAATATTGCTCGACATCTCCAATTGCATTGGTTATCAACACATTCAACAACATATCTACTTTGGTTTGAAATTTTCACCTTGTATGTGCAGTGATTGACAATGTGAAAGCGGTTGATGGTATCTTGAACTTGTTCTTTTGTTATGAAACGTTGTCCAAGAAATAGAGTTCCTGCCGGAGAAACAAAAGACTCTCTGTCCAACGCATGACCATACTCTGGGTCTTGTTGTTGAATGTGATTTTCAAAGTTAAGAAAATGTTGTGGTGGGTTGTATGGTTCCATGAAGTTTGGTGCATGTGTAGGGATATGTGGTTGTTCGTCCTCTGAATCATCTTGGTGTTGACTGAGAATTTCATCTTCGTCTTCATCCTCACTAAAAGGATCAACGACTTCAATTGGGAGGCCAACAATTTTGTTCTCTTGTGTGGGTAGTTCTTCGTTGATGTTGGTGGAAGGCCCACTTAGAAGTTGGGTAAAAGGGATGTAGTCATTATGTGTGGGTATTTCTGGGTCAGTGTTTGGGAAAGCTTGGTAGGGTAAGGGTGAAATTTCTGGTGAGTGTGTGTTGGGGTATGAAGAAGAAGAAGTTTTAAATGAAACAAAAATTTCAATACCACATAGACTTGAGTTTGAATCATGAACATCGAACATGGCCTCCACGTCATCATCATCTTTCAACTCAACAGCAATGAAGTTGTTGATCTCAACTTCGAGTCTAGTTGGACAGCGAAAATGGATGGTTGCTACATTTTCGTGGGGTTCTTTCTCCAATTTCTTGTGGATCAACTTCTTCTTTGTAGAGAAATTCCTCTCTTTAAAGGAACAAGTTTTGCAGTCCCGGTATTGAAGGTAACTCCCTCCATGGGACATGGGTTCATGAAACCATCATAGTGGACAATAGTAGACACTACACCCATTTTAGGAGTGTGGAACACAAAGAAGACTAAAGGTAAGAAGAAGAAATAATGCAAATAGCTTCACAGATTTAGGAGTGTGCAATGTGAGAACTTCAAAGAATGAAAGTGGTCTATTTATAATGAAGTCCATTGGTTTGAATCCAATGCTCCCTCACATGGTTTCTGACGCACACAAAACCCAAGCAAAGTGGGTGGGTCAACATCTCATTAAATATGTTTGGATTCTTCTGCTTTTGTCTAACCCAATGCAGGGAATCCAAGATTGGAATCCTAACTTAGGTGGGTAACTCAGCATTGGATTCTTTACTTGTGTGCGTCAGAAAGACATGGGAATCCTGACTTCGGTGGGTGACTCAGCATTGTAAATAGTTGCAGGTTCCCTCGCTCAAGCGATGGGTTTCTAGCTTGAGCGAGAATTGACCATAGCTAAACGTCCAACGCAGTTAGCCACATATTTCAATCACTTATCGCTCAAGCGAAAGTAACCGTCGCTTGAGCGAGACAGAACCCGAGAATCCCCCATTTTTCCAGGTGTCCTCGCTCAAGCGATGTGTTTTTCGCTTGAGTAACCTTAGATAGCGGTTCACAACAACCGCTTTTAAAAATATATATTAGATAGCGGTTAGGCTTTAACCGCTGTCTAACGTATGTAGTTTAGATAGCGGTTGGCCAAATAACCGCTATCTAAAGTCATATATGTCAAAGTGATCGACTATAATGGGATTATAATCGAACATAATTTTCGCTCAAGCGAAAATATCCGTCGCTTGAGCGAGAATTGACCGGAGATTACCCCTTCGTTACATATTTTATCCCTCAAGCGAAGGGTTTCTTCGCTTGAGCGAGAATTTACCCGAGACTACCCCTTTGTTACAGATTTTATCGCTCAAGCGAAGGTTTTCTTCGCTTGAGCGAGAGTTCATTACGTGAAATAATATTATTTTAATACGTGAACAGTCAACAGTTGCGCGAAATAATATTATTTTATTCCGTGAACAGTAAACAATGCTAGTTGTGGAAATAAAGTTGCAGAGGTGCTATTTTGAAAAATATTTTTAAAAACAGTATTATTTATGAAAAAAAGTCCCATCCTGACTCCTCTCAATAAATCTAATTTAGGATTGTAGTTTATTTCTTATTATTGATAAAATAATTTAATTATCGCTATATATTTTGTTAGGAACAAATAAATTTTAATGTGTTTCTAATTAATTATTTTAGCATAGTCAAATATAATTAATTGGTGATAAAATTCAGAATTAAAATATTTGTATGATCATTCTCAAAATTTTATTCCTTGTACATATTTTATTGATTTTTAAAAGCATTATTTTTACATGAATGAAAAAAAAAACAATTAGAAACAAACAAAAATCTATAATTAGAGAGAAAATTAATTGGAAACAATCGTATTAATCCTTTAAAATATTATTCATCCTCAAAATAGTAATTGTGTATTAATTAATAATATCCAATTTTTAATAAGAGAATTAAAACTTGTGTTTAGTAATCTCACAGCGTTAATTATAATAAAATAATACATCAAACCTAGATATTACATAAATCTATTCTAATGATAATATGTATGCATATGTACTAATTGGAAGTTTCATATATAAAAAGATCAATAATAAGTCACAATTAGAGGGTATTGCATAAATTCTTTTATTTATTAATATTATACCTAAATATTTCACTAATTTGTAATTGTTTTAATTATAGTAAAAACAATTTAAAGGAAAAAAAAATAGTATGTGATAATTACATAACTTTAATAAATTTGATAGTAGAGATTGAGTGTGATGTGCAGGTGTTTGTGTAATTTTTAGAACCATACAATAGGAATAAGATATAGAGATTTATGAAGTGCAATTGATATGGTTGTTGGTGGTGATCAGCAGTAATCGGAGTAGAATTGAGAGCAGATGTCATATTGTTGGCAGAGTTTGGCTCTTGTGCCAATTTCACAATCCCAATCCCTGTTTTCTTATTCACAAACACATGGTGTCCTGGCGAGGCAGAGGGTTCCTTGTTCACGGCTTCAGGAAATGTCCGTTGTGGAGCCATCATCACAATACCAGTATCAACAACAGAACTACTATACGAATACAAGTACCAATCCCCGTTTCGGAGGGGATGATGATGAGGACGAGGCCGAAGAGGAGGGGATTTCTAAAATACGAGTGCCCAGACAGAAACACATCCCTGTTTCCAAGTCCCAACTTGTGGATGCCATCCTCTCTATCATGTTTAACCAACCCCAAGATGATGCCCATCACTTTGGCCTCCTCACATCGTAAGTTTCACTACCTATCATTTCTATGACATCTCTATCGCTTCTGCATGCATCTCACTTCATTCTCAACTCCAGACCCAGACGAGTTAAATATGTTTTGTGTTTCTTCACACTTTGATCTTCAACAGATGCTTAGACTCTATTCTTCACGCTGAGCACAAAAACATCTTAGAGGAAATGCGTTCCGATTATCAACTTACCAATTCACTACAAACACACCATTCACAGACACAACTTGTGAATGTACCCAATGGGAATACCAAGGATTCAGACATGCTTACCAATGACAATGACATCATTGCAATTCAGGAGGACGTCAACATGTATGACTCTCGGCAAGATCAACGGGAAAAGT